ATTGCCCAAGTGTAGGGCTCATGGTGGGGGCCCTGACAGAACGTCCTACGTTCCCCACTGGCTTCTGCAAGTAAGCCGCCGTTGTCGACTCTCGTTGGTTCATTTGTGACAGGCACAAGGCAGAACTGCAGGAACCGGACGAGGCCCACACGGTAGCCGTGGGGGCCGGGCGATCAAGGGTAGACTTGGGTAGCTGGCTACCCAAGGCGATCAAGGATAGCTCTTGGTAGGCTGCGATCATGGGCGATCATGAAGGCTCTACCAAGTATATAGTCACTCGTTCTGGAGGACTCTGGGAGTTCTCCAGTAAGCAACTTAAGTGCAAGATTGTCAGTACCTTTGGACATTGCTTGTTGTGAACCCTTTGGCTTCACCGAACCTCACCCCGTTGTCAAAGCTATAACCTTCAGGAGTCCCTTTCAGAAGTAGGGGCTTTGAGATTCGTCACACGTGGCAGGGAAACAGTGGGGACACTTAGCTGTATGGTGCCACCAACCACCGAAGCTAAGGACCTGGCCAGCTGCAGAGATACGCTCGCAGAGAGACCTGTATAGAGCTCTCGACGAGTGGGGGAACAAAGAGAGAAGGCTTGCAAGGAAGGTAATTAGGTAGCTACTATGCTCGGGGAAGCTCCTGGAGTATAGTAGGGGCCGTAACAGATATCTGGAGAGCGAGAGACTCAGATTGGAACTTGGACTTTCTTCTCTCAAGGATCAGTTAGTTAGTCAAGTTGTCAGGGCCCCCACCATGAGCCCTACACTTGGGCAATTGGCGGGCGAGACACTGTGGATTTCATGGCGCAGCGACATGACTCGCAGCAGAGAGAGGATATCTGGAGAGCAGGAGACTCAGATTGGAACTTGGAACTTCCCTCTCTCAAGGATCAGTCAGTTGGTTAGGGGTGCACGCACAATACAGTCGTCTTGCCTGCTGCTTGTTGAGGATTCGGTGCATCTTCCTTGGTGAGCTTGTGTGTGTCACCTTACACAAGTGGTGCACGCACAATACAGTCGTTTCGCCTATTTCTCGCTGCGGATTCAGTGCATCTTCCTTGGTGAGCCTGTGTGTGTCACCTTACATACGGCTAGAACTAGGCTAGTTCGATGGCTTAGTTAGCTATATACACCTTTCTTTTCGCTGTAGCGGGTGGATTCAAGACTTCAGACTGGTATAGAGAAGACAGGTGTTTTTAGTCCAGCCTTGCAGGCATAGTTTTCCTTTACAATTAGTGGTAGTGTTGGATTTTGCAAGTGGTGACTAATAGCTTGGCACTATGATTCTCAGCAGCAGGAGGAGACGGGGTAACTTTTGGAACAACAGAGAGAGCAGCATCATACATCACAGTGGATAGTTGCTGAGGCAAATCCCAAAACCATATTAACACGCCCGTTAAAGTAAGCAAACATCAACCCGGGTTTGCCGTTGAGTACCCTGAGCATTTTACATCCCACAATGGCGGTTTACCTGTCTACACGTTTAGTGTTCGAATTGTTACTTCGATCATCAGGCAGTCAAGCAGGCTGTCCGCAAGCATAACGGCCTCGGTGGCTAAACACTTGCATCTGCAGAAATCAAAACTTTCTTCAACTTTGTGATGCTGCAAATCCTTAGCTTTGGCCGACCGTGTTGACGTGTTGGCCTGGCTTGGGTATCCCGGCAGCTGGACACTTTTGCTCAAGCTTCGCTTGATGTTGGATTGTGGTTCGTAAGGTACAACACCTTGTTGGGCATCCTGATGCCCATGCAGCCATTCAACAATTTCCCTTAAACAGCCCAATTTACCAGTCCTGTTCATGCCCTCGTTGCCAACGGCTGGCTGTCTACACGTAATTGCGGCAAGGTAGAATCTTAAATAAGTCTTCCAGTGGGATCATCATGGAAGCCGAAGGTGTTGGAAGCCAAAGCCGGTTCATCAAGTGTTAGGTACGCCAACTATCCGTACCTGCGTACCTTACGTACTGTATTGCATCGGCAATTGGCACCCCTTTTCTTGTCCCCACCTCGTAATGGAGTCCCTGAATGCACATCGTCCCAACTATGGCTTGTGGGGAAGCCTGTTGCCCCGTGAAAAATGAGCTTGTTGAATGAGGGACTTGCAAACTTGTCAGGTTACGGTAAGGTACCGCTGTGAGCGCAACCACCTGGACCCACCAACCCACGGTCACTGTCACTCCGCTGCACCTGCCTCGACTGGCAGCAAAAACAACCTGCAAGCGGGACACAGAGCGGCTCGTTCCATCCCAATTCACGCCTTGCCGGCGACCCGATCAACAGACGCCGAAGTCGACGAGAGCACCCTTCGCTGGCTCGGTGCACAGGCATTCGGCCTTCTTCCCCCAAAACAACATCAGAAGAGTGTCTTGGACAACACTGGATTGTTCGCATCATCTTACACCGGAATGAGGTAGCCTTTCGACTGCTCTCAGCTCCCTGAGCCCTGGGCGTCATCTTTTCTCGACTGGGGCGTGTCCGATTCTCCGCCTTGACCTGGGGTCGACATCACCGGGCTTCACTTGTTGTGTCACTGCCATCTCGACGCGAACCAATTCAACTGAGGCTCTCTGCCCTCGGACCGCTGTCGCGCCGCGCTTCCCCTTATGAACAGAGACCGCCCCGTCCCCGCTGGCCCCAGACGGGAAAACCAGTCGCCCCCAAGGTTGTTATTGCCCAATTGATCAGCTCCCTCCCACCCGTGCATCATCACGAGTGGAGCTTCTAGTTGAGCATTTATCCGATGTCGCCGTACGACAGATTCGCTGACTTGCTTTGTTTTGCAATCCAGGAGGTCGCGCAACTCCAGTCCCACCAAGACTGGCTCCATCAACCGGCCCACTATCGATGCTCCGATGCTCAGCGCTTCGTCCTCCAACAATCATTCTTTATTCTCCTTTGGTGGCAGAAATGGCTTGTCCGACGACGTGACCGACAGCAACACCTCGTTCGAGTTCCTCCCCTCTGTCAGCTTCGACGACCTGCAGAGCAGCCTGGAATCCGCTTCGGCAGACTTCCGGCTGACCCAGTTCCCATCCCCGACCGGCCAAGGAACTATCCTGGGAAGCAGTGCGCTCGCAGCACACGACATGGTGGAACAGGAACGTCCCGATGGGACGAGGAATGCCACGAGTAACCATGCTCCCGTGCAACAGCCGGCTGTCACGCGCTCCCGTACTGGCTCCATTCTGCGGAGGCCGAGCACCTCCAGTAGACATACAAGCATAACATCAACTGCACCCACCGCCTCCAGCCTCACAAACGCTCCTATCCCCCCTGCGGCCATGCGCTCGCGTCGCCAGAGCCATTACCCCCCGGTCTCCAACGCCAGCATCATTAAGCCGCCAAGGAAATCGACTGGAGATGTGGTGGCCGGAGGGGAGCTTGAGCCTCGCAAGCGAAGACCCAGCGTGGCGTCCCTGTCGGATAGGAACGGACTGGAACCTACAACAAGATCTTCTGTCGACGGTGGATCCCGCCCCGCGGGCGATTTCCTGCGGGCTCACGCCAGCTCGCGAAGTTCAAAGGCGAAATCCGTGCAGCCGCCGCCGAGAGCCAGCCAGGCCATGTTGTCCCCAGACACGAGCGCTCTGTCGCTGGACCACAGCCACATCTCGCTGGCACTGCCCCGGTCACCTCGCGCCGCTGCCAAGGGCTCAAATCCAGCCGCGATGAAGCGCATGTCGGTCATGCCCGGGGTGCCAGCCCTCCCTCATGCTACCGGGCTCGGTGCGAGAACCATCAGCCCCACTGATACGAGGCGGTTGAAACGTCTATCCATGCATTATACACAAGGACAAACGCCTGCTTCAATATTGCCGAATCCGCCGCCGCTATCAGCCGACGTCCGCTCCTCGTCCCGTTCCCCTTCTATGCTTCCCCGAAAGATATCGACTCCATCCTCCTCCCGGACGACACCCGATCCGAATAGGAAGTCGTACAGTTCAGGTCTTTCTGCCACCTCCAACGCCAGCTTCAACACCGCGGCACGGACATTGGCTGTGTCGGGTCAGCAGCGCAACTCCCAGGGTGCCGGCTCGAGGTTACCTGCTCCGAAGGCCCTGAGTCTACACAACTCGGCTAGCCACGACGAAGACGAGGGTGTCCCCCCGGTTCCGGCGATACCAAAGGCGTACGAATCGCCCAAGGATACCTTGGCTGAGACGGTTTTCTTGGATAAGAGGAAGTCAAACCTTGGGTTTGACGCCAGCAGCATCCATAGCAATTCGACCGGGAGTGTTTCCGGGGCCTTGAATGAAGCAACGCCTGCCAAGGTGCAGCGCAGGTCTAGCCATCGCAAGACAGTTCATGCTTCCAAGTTGGATATGGAAGCAAAGCCTGTGGCGCCGCAATCCAAGAAGACGTTACAGCCGTTGAGGCTTCCACCGATTACGCTGGGTCCGTTGAGTACGCCAACTGCTGCCAGGATAGCCGCTCTTCAGGAACAAGGCTCGTCGGAAAGGAACCTCTCCCCTTCCCCAGTCCGACACATCTCAAAGACGCCGACGACGCCAATGACGGCGTCCAAAGGAACCTTCTTCTCTCGCACACGGCCCGATGAAAGAACTGACATTCAGCATCTCAGAAGCAGCAGCTCAATACACAAGTTTAGGCGTGAGACCCCGCCTCCACCTGAGCCAGCGAGTTCATCCGACTCATTCACCGCTGTCAAGAATGGGGGCCAGAGAGCTGGTCCCTCACCATTTTTGAGCTCCTCTCTCCCCAAGGGAGGTCATATGGAAGCTGCCTTCCTGAAGAGGTCGAAAACAGGCGGCGATTTTACCGCACCGCTAGACGCGGCTCCTGATGCGGCAATTCATCACACCAAACCTTCCGGGCCACGGGCGCAAAAGCTTGCGCCAGCACGGCCTCCAAAATCTCCGCCGCCACTGTCGAGTCCCGACGAGCCGCCGACTCCCTCGTCTATGACCTCGCTAAGGAGAAAGCTGAGCTTGTCATGGAAGCGAAGTGCGTCTAAGAACAGCGGGAACCAGGCACAGCCCGAGAAGGGCGAGCACAAGCCTGTTAATCACGATTCCATGCCCCCGCCTCGTATTCCCGCCTCGGCTACGACGAACAGCATCCCAACTGGCAAGCCCCCGAGCCCCGCGCCGTCGACCAAATCCAGCGGGACAGGAACGTACCTGGAGTCGAGGAGGCGCAAGAGCTCAGCCTCGAGTCTGAACGCAATCGTTGCACAGGAACAACGCGGCCGCCCCGATGGCAGTGCAGTGAAGAAGGAATCCACGCTTGACACGGTTGCCGAGCGCACCACAGTCCCCCACAACTCGTCTGTTGTCCAGAGGATTCTCAAGCCCAGGAATTCAGCCGCCGCCCTGCGGCCCCACGATGTCTGGACGTCAGAACTCGACAAGGACGACCTGATCGCCGAAGAGGAGATGAAGAAGCTCGGGTTACGGCGCAAGGACACAGAGCTGGCTGCCCGAACCCTGGATGCGCTTAGGAAGCGTGCCAGTGCGAAAGAGCGTGTCAACCCACAGGAGGCTATCCGGATCGCCATGCTCAACATCTACGAGAGAGGTGAGATCGTGGACTACAAGGACGTCTACTTCTGTGGCACGCAAAATGCTGCCAAGGTCGTCGGGGATCCCCAGTCGGACAGTCCCAACTTCGGCTATGACGACGAGCGCGGGGACTACACCATCGTGCCCGGCGATCATCTCGCGTATCGGTACGAGATCATTGACGTGCTTGGGAAGGGAAGCTTTGGACAGGTGGTCCGCTGCATTGACCACAAGACTGGTGTTCTGGTTGCGGTCAAGATCATCCGCAACAAGAAGCGGTTCCACCAGCAGGCTCTGGTTGAGGTGAATATTCTGCAGAAGCTGCGCGAATGGGTAAGTGCATTACCGGAGATGGTGACTCGGTTATTTGGCCTGACCGTCGCATATAGGATCCCCACAACAAGCACAGCATGGTCAACTTCACTCACAGCTTTTATTTTCGTGGGCATCTCTGCATCTCCACCGAGCTCCTCGATATGAACCTCTACGAGTTCATCAAATCAAATGCCTTCCGTGGCTTCTCGCTCAAGATGATCCGCAGGTTCACCAAGCAGATGCTCAGCTCGCTCAACTTGCTCAAGCAGCACAAGGTCATCCACTGTGACCTGAAACCAGAAAACATTCTTCTACGGCATCCTCTACACACTGAGATCAAGGTCATCGACTTTGGATCCAGTTGTTTCGAAAACGAAAAAGTGTATACGTATATTCAATCCAGATTCTATCGCTCCCCCGAAGTTATCCTCGGCATGACTTACGGCATGCCCATCGACATGTGGTCTCTTGGCTGCATCCTGGCCGAGCTCTATACCGGCGTGCCTATCTTTCCCGGCGAGAACGAGCAGGAGCAGCTGGCCTGCATTATGGAAGTGTTTGGGCCTCCCGAAAAGCACCTGATCGAGAAGTCGACCCGCAAGAAACTCTTCTTTGACAGCATGGGCAAGCCCCGGCTCACCGTCTCGTCCAAGGGCCGCCGCCGGCGTCCGTCCTCCAAAACGCTGCAGCAAGTCCTCAAGTGCGACGATGAGCCCTTCCTCGACTTCATCGCCCGCTGCCTCCGTTGGGACCCGGATCGCCGCATGAAGCCCGAGGAAGCTATCCGCCACGAGTTCATCACGGGCCAAAAGACCTCTGTCCCTGTTCCCCGCTCCGCTGTCCGCGACTCCTCCCCTTCCAAACGCGTCAACTCCCTCGGCGCACCGAGACCCCTGCCCGAACCCCCCGCCGCCGCTGTCGTCAAGACCAGTAGCACCATCGCTTCCCTCCGCACGCGAGACAACACCACTGCTGGGTTTGCTCATCACCACCACCATCACCACAGCGGCGGGCCAATGAAACCGGGCGGTGGTGTCCCGTCCTCGGTCACCACCCGCCGCACGTCGGGCACCACGGCTGGTGGCATTAATACCGCGGGCGGCGTGAAACGCGCCAGCTCGGGCACCATCACGACGGCGCATTTCGGTAACGGCACGAGCGGCACCGGCAGTGGTGGGAGTGGTGCAGCGCCGTCGCTGAGTAACAGTAACCTGCCGAGGGCGTCGATTCGTAGTGTGAGCGGCTCTCTGGCGACTACTGCGGGTATTGGTGGCGCTGGTGCGGGTGGGGTGGCCCACCACCACCACAACAAGACGGATTCTTTGGCCGCTGCCGGGGCGACGGCTGCGATGAGTCGGCGTGCTTAGGAGGCACGCTTGGAGAGCCGGAGGAGGTGGGAGAGGATTGGGTCTTGGTGATGGGCTTTGTTGTTGGTTTTTGGTGTTGACTGTGCTGGGTGAAATAAACGGGGTCTTTTTTTATGGGGTTGGGGCAACGGTGGTTGGCGGTGTGGTAGAGTGGTTGATGGGCGTAGGATTCGTTCTGTTGGAGGGGACGGATTGCGCTTTTGTGACTTGCGAAGCGAACGACGGCTGGGAGGAGTGGGACGGGACTGCGATGTGTAGAAAAGAGGTGCTGATGTGTCACTGTGCTGTATGAAGTTTTGGTGTTTGACGCCAACCGCATCCTACCTAGTGGTTCAATGAACGGACGAGACGAGACGAGAGGAACAGGCAAAGACGGACGGGATGATGATACCACCTTTTGTTCTTATTCTTTTTTTTTAATTACGCTGCGCGTTTCTCTTATCAGCAACTCACCCTGCATGGCATTGCGAATACTATACTGGTTTCGCCTTGTTTTGTCTGGATCGTCTGTCTCCCTCCTGTTTGGATGCTCTGGACGGTCAGGCACACTGGATAGGACACTGGGTAGAGAAGTGAGATGGCTCTGGTTGCTGGTAATGATGTACTGTGGTATGGGCGGCAACTCACACTACAACTGCGTTATATACGTCACAGCCGGGGTTATGGGCATAGATGTTGCGTTTGTTTCTCGTGGTCCAGGTGCAACAATTTTTTTTTGCTGTTCTTGGTCCAGGCTCTTTTGCTGATTCACTTCGTTGTTTCCTCATGGTGTGGGAAGCTTGGGGATGGCTCCTCGTGCGAACGCAGTTACTTCTCAGATTGAGAAGGGTTTCGAATGCAGTCGCTCCCCCCTGTCCCAGCAGATTGCTTCCAAGCTCTACTCGCGTTTCTGTTTGGGAGCTCGCTAATCCAAGACGGGGACGTAGGACATTTGGCATAAAGGTCACAGTCCAACGGCCACGGATAGGGGATCATCGACGAGAAGAGAAAGGGGTCGAGGCATTGGCAGAGTGTAAGGAGTGCGAACGACAAGCGTTGGCAAAGTAAATAGGACTTGCTGTTCAGGAGTGTGCCCTCGAACCAGTGAGACGAGGCTGTGCTAAGGGAGGAAGGTGCAAGAGGGCGGTGTTGAAGCAGGGGGAACCGTTGAGACCCGGGCTTGAATCGTGGCAAGCCACGGCCGAGTCACAGACATACCTAGACAAAGAGCACGATTTGGTGCAATGATGTTGGACAGAGATGGGTGAATGTCGGGCATCCTCTGGCCTCGGAAGGATAACGAGATCTGTTAAGTCTACGGATCCGTAGTTCTTATGTGGCGAGGCGAAGGCAGAAGAAACAGAGTTGGGGTGACTTCCCCGTGAGGGTCCCGTGTCAAAACAGATGGACATATTCTTGATTCCAGTACAGTGATTCGATTGGGTCCCCCAACCACTCCGTCTCTTCTCGCATACCTCGGAGCGGTATCCGCGCCCGAGTAGAGCGAACACTGAGCCCGTTATGTGGTACTGGGATGCTCCAGTGATCTGTGACTGCTTTTCTTTTGATTTTCCAGGATCAGCCCAAGCCTTGGTGTCAAGTCTGCTTACATAGTCTGCTAGCACGGAGGGGGAAAACACGACGGCCAGCGGATCACTGCGGGAGGGGGGCGTCCTTGATGATCGGCTCTTCCGTCTCTCGTCATCTCGCGCCGTCCCGCCCGAGTGGCACTAACACTCCTGCCGGAGGTATCAGAGTGTACCAGTACTTCCTGAAAGACTGGACACGCAGCCCACATGGACTCGGGGCGTGGATGGAGCATGAGAAGGACAGGAGAGTCAGGGCTTGCCTTGCGAAGCGGACCTTCCTTGCCGCCTCCATGGCACGTAGCCGGCGAGGCAATGACCAGGGCATGTAGTTAACTTGCATACAGTATACTAAAGCGCTATGACACTGCTCGAGAAAAGCCGTACGTCAAAGAGCAGTCCTAGAGGGAAAGGTAAGCTGGCCACGGCTCGGAGCCTCCCAGAGATAGACCAATCAGTCAGTTTGGGAATTCACGACACGCCCGGCTACGGTGCCATATCTTGGAGATGAGGCACGCATTGCCGTAGGGGTGCAGTCAAGGTTCAGGACCTCGTTTTGCCCCAAACCGTTTGCGGAGTTTGCCAGCTTGCAGGTGAGAAATTCCGGGGACGCCAGCCCTGTTGGTGGAGTGCTCGTCTCCGACGTCTACGGTATGCGGCTTCCCGTGAGTTCGGTCTATTCGAGGTCATCAGCGGATGGGTTTGGGGAAACGGTGGGGGCTAACACAGCCCTACGTTGTCGATGGTTCAGCTCGTTCCACGTTGCCGCAATGCCCGATGGCATTGGACTGTGCCGTACCTTTCATCGAAACCGCCGGAGAGGCAGTCGCTTTCAATTGCCGTGTCAGTGGCGTCGAGATGGCGCAACGTCTCAATCTCAAGCAATGAAAGCTAAGGTGGAGGAAAACACTTGGCCACTTCGGGACAGTTGTCCATGTTTCCAAGGCAGAGGCGCGCAGAATGAGTGACAGACATTGGGATCTACGCATGTGAAGGAATAGAGCGTCATCCATCGCAAGCAGAAGGGACTGGAGAAACTTCCAGGTTGATAACTGTGGCTCGTGATGCTGGCTTCTGCGGGTCGTGAAACATAAGACGGCCCGTTGTGATGCCAATACAGCTTGGCCCGACATGTCGGTCTGCAGGCCGGTCTCGCGTTGCGCAGAATATCGCGGTACCTGACGCATCCGCAGTAGCAAAGCACGCCCAGCGACAGCGGGCAAAGAGTCAGCTGGTCAGCCTGGAAACTCGTGTCAACCTAACCGACCCATTCAGCCCAGCCCAAATTACAGGTACCAACAAGAAAAAAGCTTTCCAAGCAGCATCCTCGCAACTATTCAGAATCTATAGTGAGCGGCTGAACTTAACCTTTGGCCATTTTCCATGTCCTCGAAGAATCGGCGTAGTTCTCAAAATTCCTCAAGGGTCTTGTGATCGCAGGGGATGAGGCTGAGCAGAGTGGGAGCGCTGGCGAGCTCCAAGGTTGATGGCAGAAAAGAAATCTTGAGAATGGGAAGCGATGAAGGCGGAAAACGACACTCCTGCGACATCACAGTCAACGACGATGAAGAGCCATGACGTCCTCCCACACCTCAGCAAGGCTGTTGTTGCCTCGCAGGTGAGATGCGCGCTTGCCTAAATAGGTAAGCAGCAAATGGCAGGTCACGGGTTATCTCCGGATACCCACAATCCCTCACCTTTCACTTAAGGACCCGATTTCACCACCTTTCCTCTTCCAAACTTCATTGATTGCCCGTTTTACGGAACTACGTTCTCAGTCCACTGACGGCAACTCCGTGGTCAAAATCCGGTTTTGAAACCCTTCAAGTCGCTGCGATTGCGATCGTCTAAATGACTTGATGGAGTCAGTGCCCACTTGTCCAGTCACAGTCATCCATCGCGAGGCTGTGCTGCGAGCTAGCTTGAGCTTCGGTGAGCCGTGGTTGGCTCAACACCAGAACCGAGTGCCGCAAGCCGTTCGGCAAGTGTCTGTCCCGTCCTGGTAGCCCAGGCGATTGGCCCGGTCCCGAGTGTTTCCCCGTCCCCACACGCCAGAGCCCCATTCGGCATTGACAATACACGGTGGTCGAACCGGGCGCAGGATGAATAGAGTTCTTGCGAGGGCCGGGCCATGGAGGTTTCCGTTGAGAAGGGACTGCGAGGCAGATCGCAAGGCTCAACGGCTTGCGCCGATCGACTCCACACCCTTTGGTAATCGCTTTTCACAATACGAACATTACCGAGTCTTCAAGTCGCAACCCAAAGGGCCCGCAGGTGAGCAGTACTGTATTGTAAGTACAATTTCCGCCCCCTACGTTTCTTTACGTTTCGACGATCCCCGATCGGTAATGGCGGTCCCAAGCAGACGGTCCAGGGGCAGCCACTGGCGATCATGGCAACCCACCATACCCTTCGGCCATTGGGCGAGGTACGGATTCCATGACCCGATGCTTCAACATTGATGAGTTCGAGCACGTCCATTAAGACAAATGCATTAGTTGAAAGCTCCATCTTCACGGATATTCACCGTCCACCTGCTCGCGGGCTGTATCCATTCGGCGTTTCGTCCCCAGGCGCTCGGGGCTGGACTCGACCGACCCCGATAATCGGCATTTTTTGTGCCGTACAACACCCAATGATGTTACACACGCGCTAACCACGGCCGTGCCTGTCGTTCCGGTGCCGAGTTTCTCACGGGCTTGATTCGGCGCGGCATGCTGTCAGCAGAGGCCGCCGTCTCGTTCATCGGGGAGCAGATGTGACTGTCCAGAAGCACCCAATCAGAGGTCTTTTTTCAGCGTCGTTTCATCTCTTGGCAGCCGTTTCGGTCCACCAAGCTGCACCAACAGCATGCCCCGGGAGTTACCACACCTGGCCGGATCGTAGGCCATCAAGCGCAATCTGCAGCCGTGCAGCCATTGGGTGGCCCGCATTGCAAACGCACGGGATGTATCTGAGATCCTTCATCACAACGAGCATCTCTTGTTCCTCCTTGGGGTGTGCGGTGCCTGGCGCAATCAGCCACAACCCAGGTGAGATGACCGTGGGGTCTGCCTGCTCCCTCTTGGATCGGTGAGCAAGCCCGCGCTACGTCGCGGGCCCTTTGGTGGTTCAGCAGACAAGCTGCTAATTACGGACGCCCTCAGAAAACCGAGAGTAGGGCGTTGTAAATCGGTCTACATGTAGGAAGGAGTCCTGCAAAGGACACGAACACCGGCGGCATGCTCTGATCAAGCAATGCTGTGTTATCGAGCCGCGCTAGCAGTGAATGGCGCACTCGTCCGGGCGTTCGACCAGTCCACGCAAAGGCATGTGGTTCAAGTTAGACGCTTGCTGGCTCCATTACAGAGGGAATTGACGGGGCCGGGTCGCCAAGAAAGCAGCAGCAGTGAATCCCGACCATGAACCGATAAACGAGCACCTGGCTTTCGTCCTCCCTCCCATGGTGCTTGCTTATGAGCAAGAACAGAAGCGCGCAGATACTCAGTTCGCCATAGACCCCGTTGCTTTGCGACAGTCTTGATTCTATCTGTCGGAACGATTGGGCTGGCGTCTGCATGTGCTCGGTCGATGCTGCGTCACTGGAGCCATCTGTGACACCTCGGTGCCTGGAGCACGCAGTCAACCCGACGCCGTGAGCATTGCTCCGCCGGTAGACCAAAATCACAATACAGGGCAATCTCGCACCGATCTGTTGGAGGCAGCGTTGCGAAAACACCATCTCGTCGAGGTGCATCCGGGATCAGTGTACCTTACGTGTACAAACTGGCTTGACGTCACCGTCCGCCTTGTGCCATTTGCCAATCCCGGCAGCAGTCAAACGGTAAGATGGCACACATCTAGGGCACATGATTCGGTAACTTCCCTGGCCGGCCTCCTGTCCGGATCCCGTCTGAGCGTTAGTCACGCCGCGGCGGGCTCTTCCGGGTTGTTCTCCAGTCAGGTTGCCATGTTCCGTTTGGATGGTTTCCGGCACCCGCCTTGGGACACTGCGGCGCTGCTGGCATCACCACGCCTGGGTCTCTACGCGACTCTTTTGGGGGCATGCTCTGGGACAATACTGCGGCACAGTGCGCAGGCCCACTTCCAGGACAGGACCGCAACAAGGGACCCTGTCAACTCCCGGTTAGGACCTGGCGCCCTGCAGTGGATCAAGCCCCACAGCCGGATTCAATTCCTCGGTTTTGCTCCCACCTCCAAACGCAGCGTCGTGCGCACCTGCGAAGCAACACCTGCAACCTACGTCTAATTCGGACACTGCAACCTGCAACATGCGGACACTCTGTTCCTGCTTCCCAAGCGGGCGGCCCACACACCCTCTCCGCTGCGCCTTTGCAGCCCCTTCGACGATGCCAAACTGCACCAAGACAAAGTCACGGTACGGTACAGTATGAGACAGGACCAGTCCCAGGCGTCCCTGCGCCTTCTTCTAAGACCGCACCCTCTGCATTAGCCTCGCATGCCGCAGATAATGCCCCAGTCATCAGTCATCCTCGTCCGGTTTCTATACCTGGGACCTTTAGTTCAACTGCAGTGAGCAGAACCGGGCGTCACTGCTGCCTTCACGCCGCAGGCCCTCTCAGCCAGTCCCGCCCAGATGACGCCGCGAGACCTTCGCAGGCTCCTGGGACCTATAAGGCTGCCATGATGCCCTCTCCGGTCTGTTGACTGATGAGTCGACATCACAGCCTTCCTCAGGTGTAGTGCCTGATTACTCATTTCTCCATTTCCTTGCACTGGCTGCCTTTCGTTCAAGGCCGCTCTCCGGCATCTGTCTCCTACCTTCCAGCCTGTTCGTTTTCGGTGCTGCCTGAGAACAGTTTTGCTCATATTTATCATCTCTTCTCGCTCGTTTGTGCACATCTTCCTTACTAGTCAGACATAAGTTTTGCACATCTCGGTCGATCTCGATAGCATCATACATCAACTCCGGTACCCCTGGCCGAGCGTCACAACACAAACCGGCCCGGCATCACATAGCGCCCACCAACAACCAACAAGCCGCTGTTTCCTTGATCTCCAAAACGTCCAAATCTCTCAAGGCAGAGACAACACCTCACAGGACGTTTCACCATGTGCTACCAGTTGGTCGAGCTCTACTCGGCATGCCGGTGCCTCTACTACCAGCACGCTGTTGACCGGTGTGCGGCGTATGGGCGGCCTGGCCATGGCATCCAAAGGCGAACAATACTCGTTGGCTATGCCTGCAGCGAGCACTCGTCACATTCCAGTGGATACGACTACGGTTACCCATCTCAGTACTCGGACTCGGGGTACCACTCGGGAAGGTCATCCAAGAGCTCTCGCGGCCACTACCGGTGAAGCGTGCTGTCTTCGATGATGGGCTGCAATTCTCGGCATTCATTACCGCCGCTGGAACGCTTCCAAATCAGGGACTGGGTTGCGTACCTCTACTCGTTCCGGATGAGGGCCTCGGCGGTCGTCCGAGCCCCCTCTCAAAATACCTCTTTTGACGGCCACGACCGCTTGATAGTGACATCGGGCCCCTCCGCCGACCACTGACTTGGGGCCACGACATGTCTGGCTGCCGCGTCACTCCCTTCTCGACGAATGTCGCATACGACTGGAACACGCAGTTTTGTCATCGAAGACCTAGAACGAAGGCCAGCAACGGAGAAATTGGACTCGGAGGACTTCAACATGATATTACGACGTACGAAACATGCCTCAACGGATCGGGTATGGATTGGGACGCAACACACGAAATCTCTTAACGGACCCCGGCTTTCCTTCTTTATCTAGGATCGAGTTTGGTTTCGGCATTTGGATTTCTCGACCTCGGGACAGCATAGCATCGGCATCGGAATGCATACGGAACACAGCATCACCCATGTACAACATCTGGACAGAAACCTAAAACCCCTTGTGTTCTTACTGTTTTATACTTGTTCTCTGTGTTTTTCTCTCATCTCGGTTGGGAATGGTTTTTGCATATGGATATGATACCAGGCGTTTCGAAACAGGAGGACTCCAGGCAACTGGAAACGGTTGGGGACCGGATATTCCTTTGCTCATTTCTTTTACTCGGGGTCCTTGTGGGTTTCTTCTGCTGATTTCTTATTTCTTTTTCTTCCTTCTTTTATGTCTAGATCCTGGCGATGTGCAACGTACTGGACGAACTCACCCCTCATTTATGTTTAATTCCTGCTCTGGTAGCAGCGGCAACTATTGTCATAGCTAGACGATGGGATGGGAGGAGCAGCATATGGCCTGCTCCGGGGAAGATGGTCTTTGCTAGGCCGGGGCGGCGCCCTCTGGCAGGGGCCGCAATTACTTCAAGGGACGATTGAGGCGGGGTGAAGACAGCTAGCAAACGGGATAGCGCAAATAGAAGCAAATGTTCTATCTAGAGCAGAGACTAGGGCGTGTAGGATCTTGTACGGAGTATGGTGGTTCCAAATGCGGTAGTGGCTGGGCAGTACATGGACGGGAGTGGCATGGTCACTTCCTACTCTGTCTTTTCAGGGTTCCTAATGAAATGGCTCTCCTAGATCATCACCCAATGATTGCTTCTAGTTCTCTCCTCTGGAAGACAGAGAAGCAGCACGAGAGCTCAACTCCATGGTGAGATGACTAACCTTGCCATCGTTGGACCGAATTGGTCACGAACGACAAACAAAAACACACCCTCTGAACTCGCTTGAAGCAGCCAATTGGCGGGACTCGGATGATGTAACAACAAATCTGGTGTCCCAAAAAGTCACTCTTTGCAAACGGTTGCAACGACAGAATGCCTTAAGGCTGAGAGGGAAAGGCCCCAATACGGGACGCAACACAGCGTTTCAGACAAACCTTGATTCCATCATGAAGGGCTCTTCTGGGAGGGAACCGGGACAGGGGGGATGATGACAAGGGAGGAAACCGGGGATGGGGAGGCCAAAATCTTGGATTTTTCAGCCCCCCAGCCTTGCCTTGTCAGCACCCTAAAGCTAACAACAGCCTCAGGAGACAGGTTTTCCGGCCGCCCAGTCACGGGTCTTGGGTGCCTGGGGCGATAAAAATAGAGGAGAGCCCGTCAACTGGAATACTGGAATATCTCCCCGCCCATGGCGGCGGGAGGGCAACTGGAGAGCAACTCACGAGCAGCCACTGGCATGAGCAACGCATCTCCCGCTCTCTCTCACCTTACTCGGACATTGGACATGGATGGACGGGTAAGGTTAACCTGGACTCTGTTGCTGAGATGGCGTGGGACTTGTTGCCGTGAGCCCTTGATGATGTCCTCAATGTGGGAGAACTGCTGCATCTACCCTGGTAGGTACCCAAGGTAAAGATGCTTTGCGGTGCAGTACTAGTTACCTGTACTCCTGTACTAGGGGTAGGTAGCTGAGGTTATCATGTCCAAGCGGGGTGGCACCATAGTACATTTCCAAACTACCATGATGCAAATCGCAGATTTTGCCAATATTCCCACCCTGCAACAGATGGCCGGCGGGCTTAGATAGGGATGGTTAGATCGGAGGACACGGCATACACATGGTCATCCGGCCCCAAGGGGCGCTACCGCCGGACCCAGCGCCGCAGCCGTGCCGCCATCCTTCAACTTCCGTTGGAATTTGCGACGGTTTAGGTGCCTGGGTGGCGTGTCGCATGTGCGTCATCTGAATTCTGAACTTTGGGTTTCTCGGGATGGGAGCTCACACACATAGTTAGCTAGTAACATTAGAACTCCCATGTCAACCATGGGGAATTCGGTCAGGTGGCCTGAAGACGGTAACGATGACGACAAAACGGGGCCCGGCTTTCCGTCGGCCAACCCGGACCAGACTGCCGGGATATGCGAGTACTATATGCAAATCATGGGTCGTCTGAACAGGAGATGCCGTCCCATCATCCATTCCGGGCTTCCCGGTCTGGCGGGTTGGGTTGCCCCAGGGTCACCGCCCACTCGGATGTCACTGGCGTGCGTAAACCCCGGTCCGAGTCGGGCAAGCAGCCCGCAATTCGACGCCTGTATGCGATGCATTGCTTATTACCTACCTTACACGAATGCCCTGCCATGCGATGCCGTCTTTGGAGGGTAACCTACGGTACTCTTGCGCGTCCACCATGCTGAAGTACGGAGTGGATGCGTGGCAGGCAATGCAGTCACGTCCGTTTTACTGCAAGGGTGTATATGAGGTACCTGTAGGTGCCGTAGCAACGGAAGCCCTGCGCCCAAGGTGGTGTCGACGCAAGTTCGGACGGCTCGGACTGGCCCACGTCAGCGCTTGCTCTCTGTGCGACACTTGATAATCGTCGTCGTACTATTCTAAAAACATGATGCCCTGCAGGCGCGTGGTTGAGGAACCGGACTTGGATTGCGTCCATTCTAGAAGAAAATTGTTGCCGCACACTACGACGTCGCTCCGATTAATAGTAACATGGCAGGACGAGGTTGAGGTTTCGGGTGGCGGGTGGGGGCGCGGCATCGCGGCTTTTGAAACATGGGAGGGGCAAGTCCGCAATGGCACGCAGCAGCTTGTAATACAGAAACACCAGGCTGGTATCCGAGATACAGTACAAATTATCCTATTGAAAATGCCTAGGACATCCTTTCAAGTTGTTGATTTTCAACAATAAAGGTTCAAGCGTATTGCTAGCAATGACTACAACTGTTTGTAGAAGCACAAATAAAGAACAACTGCCTGATTCCGGTCATCAGACTAAATTAGGAAAGAAGTACTTGATACAAGGTACTCTTTATAACCAATGTACTGTATATAAGGCACTGGAACTTTGATTCATAAAGCCTGAACAATGCTGCTTATAGCTGAGCGGCCGAGACTACGCCTAAAGCATATATCAATGACACTAGTTCTTGACTTTCGCAATCATTTTCCATTCACAGAATAAAATTCATTTGAAGAGCTCTGGCCAAAGGTTCAAAGGTTAAGCCAGGTAATTCGTCTAGGATTTCATGGACTGAGTGAAACCTGGTCCCCCGGAACCATGAACCAACTTTCAATAGCCGGTATTGTGCCTTATCGATAGCCTTATCGATAGTCTTATCAAAGACGCGCTCAGACGCGCTCAGACGCGTGAAAGCACGTGAAGTGATTTATGTATGGCAGCTGCATGTAAGTGAAACTACGGAGTATTACCGACTGAGAACAAGATCGCTTCCTCGACTAGTTTCTTCCTGGCCGACCATCGCGAATTTTTTTTCTTTTCTCTGCTGCCAACCCCGTCCACCAACGCCGACCTCCGCCGCTTTTTCCTCTCTTTCTTTCTTTTTTTTTATTTTTTTACTATTAATTTTTTTTTTTAGTTTTTCAGCCACGACTTCGCCGGCATGGCTGGCACCGGGGAGCCCAGCAGCGACTGGGAAGCTGTGATGAAGGCGGCCATTGGTGAGGCTAAGAGCCTCACCAAGGCTCGCCAGTTCTCCAAGGCGCTCCACGCCGCCATGGAGGTGAGTTACTCCTGTTCTTTCCTTGTCGACGGGCCGGGCATGGGCCAGCAGCAGCCCAACAACACCAACGACGGGTCGATGATCCCTGAGACAGGCTGAATGCGGGTGCCCTGGAACCAGCCGATGGGCGGCTTGCGTTGGGGATCTTGGACATCGCGGTTACCGAATCAGGTGTTGCCGGTTTATGACGGTCTTCAGGCTTGGGGCCTGTGTCTTGGTTTCTCCTGTTTTTCGCATCTCCCAAGTTGGGTCTCGTAGAGATCGATGGACTAATTACCAAAACAAACAACTAGGCTGTCAACATGTGCGTCTGCGACCCAGCGGGCAACGGCAAGATGCGGCACGGCAAGGACAAGTCTTGCAACATCTCGCAGTGCCTCGCCGCCATCAAGAGCAAGGACGCCGACGCCCTGTACCGGGTCAGCAAGGTCCCTTGCGCCTGCGGCTACGTTTGGCCGTCCTGCTCCCATCAGGCGCACCTCCTGGCCCTGGATGCGCTCGCCGAATGCCTCGAGAAAGCAGAGCAGCACGTCTCGGCCTTCTCCACTGCGCTGACTATGATTCGCCTGGACCCGACGTCGGCGGTGGTGGGTTTAATGGGCTCTCCGAAGCATCACAGCCACTGATTTGAAGGCCGACTAACATGCTACAACAGGGCTATTGCCGCGGCGCGAAGGTCCTCCAGTACCTGCTCAAGAATTGCTCTCCGCAGTCGAACTTTCCCGCAGACCGATCCATGCTTGTCATTCTTAGAGGGCACGCTAAGCAGCCTTCGGCCCTTCTGCTTCAACGCCTGCTTGAGCGCTTCGTCGATCGTGCCTTGCACACCACAAGCCGCTATAGGCAACGCCCCAAGGGCAGCTACGATGTAAGCACCTCATATCTCGGCTCTTCATTTTTTCTTTCTTCTTTTGGAATAATTCCCTGAATTCTCTCCCAGGTTGTCTTGCAGCGCATGGCCCACAACCTCAAGATTGAGGTGGCCCGCAGAGACCCGGCTAAGGAGTTCCCGCCCGAGGTGCTGGGCATGATTTTTTCGCAGCTCAGTGCCTCTGATATCAGGTAAGCTACCGAGACATTCCCCCGGCATGCCTGCTTTCTAACTCAATCTCAAAGTCGCTGCTTGCGCGTCAACAAGCACTGGAGCCAACTCATCCTGCGCGACGCCGTGCTCTGGACCCATCTGAGACTCGGCCGACCGGGCAATCCCGGCCGCTTCTTCCCCAAGTTCCTGCAGAAGCACCCAGAGATCAAGAGCCTGGTCATCCGCGACGCCTCCGACTTCCAGCTTACAGGCCAGAAGCTCTGCACTATCTTGCACGGTCTGCGCCATTTGAAGCGGCTGTGCCTGAACTCTGGGAAGCCGGCGCCTGCCCGACAGCCGGTTGATTTTGACACTCAGGGGAAGCCTGAAGTCCTTGCCACCAGGAATCGACTGAGCCAGCTCTCCATTGTCTCCTACGACATCCTGGCCCCCGTCATGGGCCTCATTGAACTCAACACGGAGTCCCTTGAGGTCCTGGACCTCGTCAATACAGGTCCAGGTGTCCAAAACGCCTTCCGGTCCGTCGTGCTCCCTAACCTGAAGAAACTGCGTATCCTCAAAGGGCAGGAACTGTTCCCAAAGGGTCAGGCTTCTGCCTTGACATTGACTCCGATCGAAATGGTAAGCAGCCATGTGTTGTTGGTGCATAAGACCCTCACTAACCAATCCAGGGGCCAATTGTGATTGCCACTCCCAAGCTTGAGCAGTTTCACCTGGACGGTTTCAGCGTCCTCTGGTCATTCCATCACGATCCCGCCTTCAGCAAAGACAGACTCTGGCCCTCACTCCGCCACCTGGTGCTCGGCCCACGCTTGCGGTACTCGGTCAGCGCAGCATTCGCCCCGTGGAATTCACGCTTCCTTCCTCCCTTGACCAGCGAACTACGGTCCATCGAGCTCCTCGGCCACAACCCAGACGTTGTTCACAATATCCTCTTCACCACGGACTCACAGATTTCCGCAGCCGCGCCCGCCCACGGCTGGGGCCCGCCGGCCGACAAACAGCAGACCCTCAACTTGCCCAACCTGGAGGTGTTCCGCTGCATCGCCGGTGTGCTCAACCCCCGTCTCCTGCAGCAAGTGCTTGGACCCGCAGCCCAGGCCGGCAAGCTGAAGGTCCTCGAGCTGGCAGCGTCATCCGCAGGCCCCGCGGCCATGACGGGCCCGGCCAACACCGTGAACCGCAGCGACCTCGTGCCCGCTCGGGACCTCGACTTTGCCATGTCGGATAACCTGCACACGCTGGGGCTGCACGACTTCAACTTCCACCACGACCCGACCAGCCGCTTCGGCGCCACCAGTCAGTTCGACGGCCAGCCGTTCATCGACTGGCTCGAGTGTTTTCCGAAGTTGCACACCGTCGCCGTCTACCCGGGCGAGTGGGACGGCGTGGCCGCTTTCATTCAGAAGCTTATTGTTCACCCGCGCGTGAAGGTCATTCATCAGGAGTATCTAAGGGGCGTCGCTTGGGATGAGGCGCTCAAGCTGGCCAGGAAGCATGGTGTCGAGCTGCATCACTCTCCGGATCACATGCCTTCTCGCTTGGCCATGATCGATGACTAGGAGTCTGATTAGATTGGGCCATGGCGGGCGGTGATGACTGATGACTGATGAATGGATACACGGAATGGGATGGGACTTATCTAATAGTTTCGAATCTGGGTGGGTTAGGACAGGTGCATCGCGGCATACAGCTACGGCGTGGGTGGGCATGGGCGTTCAGTGGGCATCGGCATATGCATTTGCACGGGCAGGAGCATCATGAAGCACCTCCATGGAGTCAGGACATGGAGGGAGGACGGATTCATTCTATCCGAGTTTGTTTGTGTTCAGGGCGTTATGTACTGATACCCCCAGACTGAAGCACGTTTCTAGTCAGGCACACCCGGCAGGACCTCGGAAGGTTATTAGCGATCCTCGGATTCCCATTGCCAAGTGCGTGGCACATAATGAGAGCATTTCAAGTAAATGAGTCAAACATGCCTGCATCGACGTATACCTTGCGTACTTGGTATCATGGTGCCTCTGGCAGAGGTGCCTGGTTAGGTCCAGAGTTACAGCAACACACCATTACAAACTGGTTGCACCTGAGCTCGCTAGGGAAGGCTAATAATTACCAATCTGGCTCCAGGCTGTTTGATAGGCAAACCATCTTCTTTCTACAAAGGGGGAAAACCCCTTTCCCTTATGATAATAACATGACAAGAATTCTTTGGAACTCGGGCAATTGCAGCAACCTCAATGGGAATTGATGATGAAATCCAGCAGCTACATCGAGAATAGGAAAGAACTTAGACGTGATTTCCTATGCCGGGATTCTGGAAGCAATCGAGAAGTGGGCAGCTGAGTTGAAGATTGCTGCCCAGGTGCAGCAGCCAGCTTTGCATGCGGCTGACCGTCAGAAACCAAATGGGCGAGTGAGATAAGGGAGGATGTGTGGAACTTGGATTTGCTGGACCTGAGGTCTGAAGGGAGTTGTCAGAATACGTTAATGAAGGAGGGGCCAGTTGTTGGGTGCTAAAATTATACCTGTGTCGGCTTGTCCTGAAGCTCGCACTCCTATCCCGGCATTTGTTGGATGCCAATGGTAGGGTAGTGTCCCAGGGCTTTTGTTGTGTCCAGGGGTTCTTTGCCCCCGTTCTGCTGGCTGATGTAAAAGCACAGACCACTCAAGTAAAGGTCCAGGGTTTTTGCACCATGCACCACAATATCACATTCAATCGAATCGCAAGTTTTCTTTTTCTTGTCATTGTACCATCGCCTTCTTCAGTCTATATATGAGAAAACATACTCTAGAATGGGTTCAAACCAGGCATTGCAATTCTCGAAGTTCTCCAAGGGGGACGCTGCGGTGCGTGCCTGTTATGGTAAGGAGCCAGTCGCTCAGCTGACGCATGCGCAACCGCCTTGTCGAAAGGATGCATGCCCAACACCTTAGCTGAGATGCGCGGATGTGGTGATTTGAGCGGGGCCTACAGTAGGGTAGTGAGCACGAAGTCCGACTTGATCGTTCTGAAAAATGTCTTGGGATTCTGAAATTTGACTCGCAAGAGCCAGAATCCTTCAGCAGCAAGACACGGGGCACACAGCCCGATGAAGCGGCATTTTCCAGACTCATTGAAGTCCTTGGCAGGATTGACACGAGACTCGAGATGTTAGACCGGCGCCTTCACGCGTTCGAGCAGTCACGTTGCCGGCACGAAGGCAGTGATCCCACGGCCGCCCAAACGTCGGACGACGCCTTGGTTTTCTTCCTGATGAACCACAAGGAAGATGCGACGATTGCGCCCAAGGTCGAGAACGATGGAGAAACAGACATGCTGGTGGGAATCATTGTCCAGAGCGGGGACCCGCTCTCCCTGTTGGCGCAGATATCAAGCACCTGTCTCAACCGTCATGGCTCCGACATTACCATCTGAGAGCAAAGGTGTTCAAATACCCGCTCATAGAGTTGCACCCTTACGTGGATATTCTGAGGGTTCTCACGAAGGAGAGTCTATCCGATCAGGTGTTTGCTGCGCTGGTCTCGAAATAATCTCTGACGACTGAACTCGAATGCGGAATCACGGAGCTCTCGAACCTATGCACTTTGGCAGTCGCCCACAACTGCTCGAGAGGGACCACAACGTTGCGCGAGGCGTCGTCCTATTCGACGAGCTCCGCACTCTCTACCCTCGGGGTATGTTTCTTATCGGCCCTGGAGAAGCAGGTTACGAGCAGGTTGTCGAGGTTTCCTTAATGTGATATGACTTCGGCGGCGTGTGTGGTGGAAGCTTGGCATTTTAGATGGGAGGGGGGAGGCCTTCTTCGGCAGGCGAGCTGTCGCTTTCATACCGACCACTACAGCGGAACCAGGCCAATCGACCGGCTACTATTCCCCCCCCTGATTGGGCTGGGTGTTGTCAGATCTGCCAAGCGGCTGGAGCAACTCATGGATAGGAACAGGACAAATCTTGCCAAATTGAGACACGTCACCCAAGTCGACTTCGGGGACTATCCTGTGTGCAGCTGGAGCTCACGCCCAGTGAAGGGCATGGAATATCACGGGCGGGTAAGACGAGCGTTTCAGATCGGATAGTTCTCCCGGTGTCTTTATCACTGCCGTTAACTGCAAACAGAGCGCCGAACCCGTCATCCTGGATCCGGAGGGTTTCTCGTTGCACTCGGGCCACGAGGTAGAACTGTGCGCCTAGTCGAGTTTCAACTGCTACTGTTCAGCTTGCACTACTCCGGTCAGCCTGGATGCCCTCCCGGCCAGAACCAGATATCTTCTGCTCTTGCCGACTAGGCTGGAGGGCTTCATGCTCGAAACCAGAAAGTGGGCTCTCTTCGATATTGCCAACCTACATCCCTACCGCGACAAGCTTGAGGATGCAGACGCGTTTCATTCGATATACCTGGACAAGACTTTGTTTGCGTCCCTCAAAAGCGACTTTGAAGCATATTTTGCGAAGCGCAGGGGCATACTAAACATGCTGTCGAACTAGGACCTTGTTAGTAGGCTGAACCGCGGTTTGGTTCTGCAGTTTCACGGTAAATTCTGACCTTGCGAGAACTGGCGGTACACGAAATACGTACTAAAATTCTACTCTCGTCAGGACCGAGCGGTTCTGGAAAGACGTTTCCTTGCCTGGGCGCTGGCTGCTCATTGTCAGCGCCCGCTTCTTTTCATACGCCTGCTGACTTGGGCGTGGACTCAACCACATATGAAAGAAACTTCTCGCTGTATACCGGACTTGCCACTCGCTGGGGGGCTGTCCTTGTATTGTAAGAAGACCTGCAAGCCCTTGGTACAACGATTGGCAGACATCTGACCATGAACAACCTCGAAGCAGATTACGTGCTGCAGTCAAGAGCACCGATGAGAACACAGAGTTCCATATCAACGGGAGGTTGATACAGACGTCCATCCGCGAGCTGCGGTCTTGTGGTTGCTTACCTCTAGTAGCTCTTCAGGATCTGCTCGAACGCTTCGAGGGAGTCATGATCTTCATCTCAGACTCTCTTTCTGCAGTGAACTATGCGCTCCGGCCGTACATCAAACTGATCGAGCTCCGCCCTCCCTCGGCGGAAACCATCAAGACCATGCTCTGTGACCACCTGAATTAGCTTGACCCTGATATGGTCAAGTCCAGGGACGATATATTGGCTTGGATAGCAACCGCTGCGGATAACTTGATGCTGACGGGCCAGGAAGCCCGTGCGATCCTCGTCGCGCTTTACCAAGCAAGGGTGGATGGGAGGAACATGGCCCTGGAAGACATCATCCGGACATACACCTCAAAGACAAGGCGACCGAACGAGGGGGACTTGTTTCCGATATATCACCGTATGGTGAGAATGAATCAGGAGAAGGAGCGATGCCACCTGGGCTCGCCGAACCGCTGCTCAATGCCTTTGGCTCTGCTTCTACAATTCCCGACGATGGGCGTCTCTATCTCACCTTTTCGGAGTTCTTTTTTCCACTCCGGCTCCGCACACAACGCCCTGGAACATTATCCTCTTAAACGAAGCCACAATAAGGTTTCTGAACGTCGCGGACTTTCAAATAATCGATTGGGGCTAGCCCAAAGCCTGTGGGCTCCGATGGGGGGCTGCGTCCATCGGCGACAAGCACAGCTGCCGCCGCACACTCCTTACCCGGCCTTTGAGACACCGCGACAGAGATGGGAAGACGGGGGATTCACGGTTGGACTACGTCATCTCATCGAAGCCGATATACATGGTGCATCCAGATGCGGCAAGCCCTGGAAAAAGACTGGTGTATGGTTGCTCGCTTTCCTCTCCGAACCCCGGAGTTTGCCAGTGTAACTCTCAAAAACCGACGGGAAACGCAGGCTCTTTCAGGGACTTGTAGCACTTTCCACTGTCGACTTACGCCGAATACGGTCTACGGCGGTGCAAATGTACGATAATTGCAACGAGACCAACAGGCTCGTCGTGCCATTATTCTTGCCGTGGATTGGAATGCGTCCCGCACATTGTGCTCCTGACTCGCGCTTCATGTTCCATGCAACGACGCTGCTGCGCTACATCACTGCACATGTCTTTGTGAAAGCCATGGAACCGTATCGTATCCGTCTCGGCACAGATGGTACAGCGTTGCCAAGCGAACGACATGACACGCTGTCACATCCGAGACGGGCTTTCACATTGTTTTCTATGAGCTTATTGAGGATACGTTGGGAACAGGAAGTGGGAACGGCCACAAGTTGCAAAACACAGTACCGTTATATGGCAAAACTGACCGCTATCTGAGGAAAAGCTGCTTCACCGTATTGCTTTTTTGAATTACATGCCTCAACTTTAACGTTGGAGGAGAGCATTGACTGACAGCTATTTCGGCTACAGATGTTTCATGTGGCCCTGATGGGCCAGCCGGTGCCCCTGGGAGACCCCATCCACTGGACTATCGTCTGCCTCACTCCCCCAGTGCCATGGCTATCAGTTCAAGGCAGTTACTCGATCTGCAATGCAGCAAGTCTCAGAACGCAGTCGGCCTTCTACGTGGCAACCCACTCAGCCAGGTGGCCTTGAGCTGGCGCCAAATCCTCTTAGCCGTGGACAGCCTAGCGGATAGTGGCGATGAGGTGTTACAGCGCCAGGACCACCTTCAGGACATTCTCTTCACGATGAGGCTTTCTCTACATCCAAGCGCTACTTCTGGATCATCAACTTCATCCACGAGGCTGTCAAGCTCCAGGACAATACGATACATCAGTGGACTCACTACCAAAAGTGTTCGGTCGAGCCCTACAAAACTAGTTTCATCGAAACTGGTCGTGAAGCCCATTGGTATCGGGAGTCACTGAAGGTGCTAGGGACTGCCGAGAAGACTGCGGAGGAGGCCTGCGAGGACTTGAAGCTACTGCGCCAGGAATTCCTGGAAAGCTGGAGCGCGTAACAGTCTTGCGGGACGGCGTAAGTTTCATTTTGCTGCTCTCTTATGAATGCCACAAACCAAAGACGCACTTCAGAGAGCACCCCGATAAACCAGATACATCCTTGATACCTGCTTACCCCACGAAAATCCACCGCAGCTCTTCAATGCCAGCGCCGTCATGGAAAGCCGCGCCTGGACCCAGCTCGGCGAGCACGTCAAGTTACTCACCTTTGTGAGCATCTTCTTCCTTCCCCTCTGCCTCTTCGTAGTACGTCCGCAACCTGTCTCTTTCCCCCGACCCCAGACATACCTAGGTACTCAAACTTAATACAAGGCAATCTGGAGCATCAACGAATCCTACAGCCGCACCGACCTCGCCATTTCAACCGCCGCCGTCGCCATAACAACCTACTCCATCACGCTCAACCTCAACAACCTCGCCCGGGTGCTGCGCAAGCTGTACGCGCCCAAGCGGCGCGCGCTGGTGGAGCAGATGGGACGGGACCCGGACGCGGACTGGAGCAGGACGGGGCGCAGGTTCCAGGCGTTCCAGCGGTCCGTGAAGGAACAGAACAAGCCGTTCGAGTGGATGATTGTGCTCTTCTTGTTAAGGCGGGCTGTTCTTCGTGTGGTGAAGGGGGTTAGTTTTGGAAGGGGGAAGAAGGCGGATGAAGAGGGGCAAGGACCCTCGACACCCTACGCACCCTACTAAGGCGCAAGGCGGACGTCTAACCATGGATCTGTACGCCGGCAGAAGACGGCGGAGGTTTGTTCGGGCGTCTTTTTGGGTGTTTTTGAGCCTCAGTCCCAGGTATGCAGCGAATTATACCCTCATCATGATAGATCCCAATCACACTCTCAGCACACCATGATATTGAGCTACCGAAAGTCCGATTGTCCTATACTCTGCTGTGGTGGCGTGGCGTGCTGATTCAGGACCGTTGGGATACCTAAGTCTAGGGCCAGAATACCTAATGACCTGACCGATTGATACAAAGGTTATCCATGAAAGAGGTGGTCTCTCTCCGTGACGAGACGACGAGGCAAAACGATTTCAGAATTGAACCGGAAAACGAGCAATAAAAACAAAAACAAAGCCATGCCATGCCATGTTCCCCGGTAAAGATATGGCCTCCATTTCATCCATCGTGTGCTATCCCATGCCGCCGTGCCAAGTTCAAATCCTGTCGTGTCTTGAAGCCTTGTAGAGCAAACAACAAACGAAGGCATAAGAAAACCGGTAATGCCAAAACCCCAGCCAATAATAACGATAACCGTAACCATAGCCGATGTAAATCAGATAAAACAAGCTCATCGGCCAGCCCATAACGAGAAAAACCGAAAGATCACCGTAACCTCTTCCTCCATTCATCCATTTCGAGCCGGTTCGAGCAAGGAAACAAGCAACCAAGCAAGTAAAGCCAACCAAGCCTCCACTCTTTCCTCCCCTCACTTCCCTCCTCTCCTTCCAGTTAATTAACCATCACTTCCCGCGACGACGACGACACCTCCCCCATTACCTTCCCCTTCCCCTCCCCCCGACCTTGACCATGACTTAACTCCCTAACCTTAACCCTCAACTCCTCCCGCACACTCTCCTCCCTCCTCCTCCTCTCCGCCTGCGCCTGCCGCGCCGCAGCACCGACCGCCGCCTTGGCCTTCTCGGCAATCGCCTTCTAGGCGCCTGTGCCCGTCGGAAAGGTCGCGCCCGCCTCCAGTGCCGCCGCCGTCGCCGGCCCCGCCACCGCCGTCATCAGCTGCTGCTGCTGCTGGTACTGCCGCACCACGCGCTGCGCCTGCCGCACCTTGCACCCCAAGTGGTAGCCCGGCTCGTTGGCCTTGCGCCATTCCAGGTAGGCCTCGTACTGCTGCTGCTTGACCGGATCGTGGTCGCGGGGCTTGGTGGTGACGGGGAAGTACGGACGCTGAACCTGCGCCGGGGGCATGTTGTTGCCGGCGTTGGTAAGTCCTGGTGGTCCGGCAAGCGGAAGAGACTGTTGTTGTGGCTGTTGGAATTGGGGGGCCAGCCCGGGGGGATAGGGCATCGATGGCAGCGAAGTGACGGGAACGTAGACGTTGTTGAGCCCTGTGCTGGTGGTGGCCACCGCTGCCTGGCTGAATACGGGCATGGGCACGGTGGTGGTTCCGGCTGCGGGCGGGAAGGTGTTGAATGCATTGAGACCGGAAAGGGGCATAAACGTGCCGTTGACTGCGGCGTTGGAAGACGTTGCGGATGGCGGAGCAGCAGCCAGCAATCCGGAGCCTGGTAGCGTTACCGGCGACACCGTGGCGGCAAACCCCGGGGATGGCCTGATCTGGTGAGGGCGCGGGTTGGTCGAACCAGACGCCTGCGCGAGGACATACTCGTCAATAGCCCGATTTCCATTACTTGGTTCTGCGACAGCCGAGGCTGTTGTCGGGAGGGAGGGTCCAAACAAAGCATCCGGCAGGGGGCTGTTTTTACGATGGTTAAAAGCTCGGTTTTCGTTACTCGGTCCTGCAACAGCGGGGCCCGTGGCCTGTCGAGAGGGCCCAAAATAAGCATCCGGCAGAATGCTGTGCGGGCGCGAAAGGTGGCTTGTCGTAGCGTCGGGGAATACGTTGGTGAGTGGCGGGCGAGACATCTTTTTGGCTGAGAGCCACGGCACGTCGTCCGTCTGGGCTACCGACTTGAATTCGGCGGCAGCAGGATTCAGCGCCTTGTTCTGGCCGTCATCCAGTGAAGGCTCCTTGCGCGGAAAATGCGAAGCGAAGCATCCGTAAGATCCGTCCGATCTATCGTCGAAGACTCCTGAGCGGTCGCAAGACCCCTTGTGTGTAGGTATGGAATCGTACAAGAAGTCGGATCTAGCATTGGCAGAACCTGAGCGGTTATTTGAATGCTGACTGCGGTTGTTCGAAGCATAGCCAGAGTCAGACGCCTTCTGCTTCCCTTTATCTTGCATCTCGCTCAGCTTCTGAGCAAAGAACTTGTTTGCAGCCTCCGTGTCCGGCTTACCCTTGACCTTCATCGCCACGATGGCAGGGTCGACAACGCCATGGGGCTGCCTTGGCGCACTGTCAGCTTCGAGACTCGATGATGAAGCGGGCCGATTCTCAAGACGGCGTAGCATCATCTGGAAACGAGCTTCTTCCTCGCGAAGCCTTGCGTGCGCACGGCTGGGCTCGGCTTCAGCATCCGAGGACTCTGGGGTCGCAGCACCAGGGCTACTCTCCTGCTCCTCCAGCCCAACCAGTTGGGAATAGCCGTGAGATTCCGAGGAAGACGAAGGAACCGAATTGAGCATATCCTGGTTGCAAACAGACTGCCGATTCACAATATTTTGAAGGCTATTTAATAGTGTCTCAGAATCCTCAGTTGGAATGCGTCGGAAGGGGGTTGAGCGATCGAAGGGCTTCAATTCGCCCACGGCAACACCAAGCGGAGCGTTGTTCTGGTCCACCACAGAAACCTCGAAGGAGAAGCGGTTGGGCATCGTGATCTCCTCCCCATCGACCTTGGTGACTATGGGGCTGACATGCTTGAGTTGAACTTTGGTTGTCTCCCTGTGATTATCCCCAGAGATGGATGATGATGAAGACGGCTGCTGCCACGCTGGGGCGGAGAAAACCGTTTCCCAAGGGGCCCGTTTATCCCTGGGGTAACGGTATTGAGGCGCTGAAAAAGAGTTTTCCGAGTCGAGCCGCATGCCTACGTCCTCGTTTTCGTCGTAGCTCACAGGCTGCTTGCCTTTGGCATTGAGAGGTGGCGAGGAAACAGCGGCCGCTCGCTTGCGCCAGTCGGTCGATGTGATGGCTGGGGACTTGTGATTCGAAGTGTCCATATCCTGCACAGTTGTCTTGATTGTCGGGCCGCATGGCCTGACTCGGTTCAAGCTCCGAGCGGCGGAGAGGTTTGTCGTTCCACGGTACATCATTGTGTTTGGGTGTGAAGCGTGTGCTGTAGACGATGAAGATGAAGTCGGATTTTCGAGCGTGTTCGCCTACCAGGATCTAGTCAGCCGATAGCTCTCAAAATGCTGCTCTCTGGGGAAGATTGGATCCCATGTATTGTATACATTCGAAAACTCCAAATTCGCTGCATCCAGAAAGGAGAACACGTCGATAACAACAGACGGATGATGCGTACACAACATCATCCTCCCCCAGGGCAACGTCACTCACCTGGTGCTTTGAATACTGTGTCTCCTCTTTGACAGTTAACACTTTGCCTCCCTTCGTGTGTCGTGATGGCCAAGAGAGATGCCTTTGCCTAGCTCCCTTTCTCTGTTGCGAGGGTGCGGAAGAATATAAAGCTCGGGTGGACAGCGAGGGCAGCAGCGAACTCGAAGATGGTTGCTTTTCTTTCCGTCCGAGATAGTTGGAATCGCGCTTCGCGGTGAGCTGTTCCCAAAACAAACGCTCTGGTGTCCTGAACGAACTCCAAGATTGAAGAGATGTCGTAAAGCTGCGAGAGAGACGATATGTGGATTACCCAAAAAGGCTGTCGACGGCTGTCTGGGATCGCAACTTCGCTTGATGCTTGGGGTTGGAGAAGACGGGTGAGATGGTTTGCGACTGAAAGATGGAGTGAGCGCAATGAGAAGAGGTTACCAAGCAGCCGGGTAGCGGCCTCCCTCCTTAAGTAGGAAAACAGGAGGGTGGAAGGCGCGTCTGGAATTAGTCGCAACTGCGCGTCTTTAGTTACTCCTGCAACCTGACGTTCGGCATGAGCATCGCACGGACGTCGTGTTTGGAGCCGGACTCGAACCTTGCGCATGCGTGGCCGGGGATGACGGTATTGTGATGGCTGGAGAAATCGAGAGCTGCCAGGCATGATTTATGCTGCAAAAGGGCAGGCGCAGACGCGCTCGGATGATGGAGTCTTCGATCCCCTTCCTCCTACAAGACTTGACTTGTCCTTGCCTGACTGAAACTTTCGAAGCCTTGAAGAACCTGGCGGCCCCGGTCTCGTTTGGCCGCTTCCTTCCGCGAGTGCCATAAGGTTCATGACCGACGATATCACTGGGCGCATCAACGAGTGAACCAAAACACCTTGGAAGACGATAAGGAATGTTGTAAACCAGAAAACAGAGTGATGAACAAGGAGACTTGGGGTGATGCTCAAGCAGGCCAGATGGTCGAGAGCACCCGGATATCTCCGAGGTTCACAATGACATGTTTTGAGGGATTTGCCCAGCAAGCAAGCAACAGAAGCAGGGTTACAATTTAGTATATCCAAGAACGCGCTGGATATTATCCAAGAAGGTACCTGCTGGATACAAATATGAGAGACCTCCGAAAGACCTACCGAAGCTCTCATTCACCATGATCATATTTCATGAGACCCAAACTCGGGGCCAGCCACCTTACATTTGCGTCTGCTGGCCCGTCATGTACGCAGTGAACGATTTCTGCAACATAAGTTAGTCAGTGCCAAGGTTGTCCAAGCAGTACACCGAGAATGGAAAGGACATACCGCGTTCCTGGTCTGGATGAAGACAGTCCCCGGACCAGTGAACTTGCAGACGAGGCCTTCGCCAGACGCGATGCCCGAGATGAGGCCGCCAGACGAGACGCGCTCCAGGACGTACTTGGTGTTCCAAGCCACCAGATGTCCGTTATCGACAATGTACTTCTCGCCGTCCATGAGCTGCGCACCGAAGCCGTCAGGATTACAATTTCAAGCTTTTCGTCTGAAGGGCTGAAGAGATGGAAAAGACTCACATCCTTCCGAATGATAGCCCCGAAACTGGTCAACCACACCAAACCCGTGCCGCTGATCTTGTACACCCACAAGCCCTCGCCGCTGAACATGGCCTTGCCGAGGCCCTGGCGCTTGTAGTCCTTGACGACGTTCTGTGTGCAGGCGAGGAAGCCGTCGTGGCTGACGGACCACGACTCATGGCCCGTCAGCCGCAGGCTGGTGATGTCGCCCAGCATGGGCGGGGCCAGGAGCAGCTCACCCGGGCCCGTGTAGGTTGACGTGCTCATCTCACCGCCGGCGACGAGCTTCTTCATGCTGAACTTGTAGGACCCCTTCAGGACAATCGAGGGGGACATTGCAATCATGGAGCCTGTGTCTCTTGTGAGTGACTTGCGGCCTTTGTGGCCCAAGAACAGATGTGGGGGTGGGAAGAAGAGGGTAACAAACCTGGCCTGGCTTCAAGGGGACATCCGATGGCCAACTGGACGGTCAAGACCGTGTTGCAGTCCCGATGACTTATCCGGTAGCTCCCACCGTTAAAGGTACCCACATCGTCGACGACGGTCGTGCCGGCGCCCATGAACTGGCCGGCAGGAGGAGCGCCCATAATCATGGAGGGAGTACCTGTGGGATCAATGGTCGGAGCCTGCGGTTGCAGCTGCGGCTGATGCTGTTGATACTGCTGCTTCTCGGCCGGGTACGCGCCGGTGTCTTCCTCCTTCGGGTAGCCGGGAGGTGGGGCATATTGCTGTTGAGAAGATGTTTGCGACACGCCTGAAGGAGTGCGCAAGTGCTGAGGCAACGCGCCATGTTGCATGGGAGGAGGGGACGTCTGTGGCGGCGCCGCATATTGCTGTTGTTGCTGCTGCTGCGGCTGCTGCTGGGGTGGAGGAGCGTACTGTTGCTGCTGGGGAGGCGGGGCGTATTGCTGTTGTTGTTGGTGTTGGGGAGGTGGCGCGTACTGTTGCTGCTGCGGAGGGGGTGCGTACGAAGGGGTCGAGGCAGCTGGCGGAGGGGTGGGGTTTGGAGCAGCCTGGGGCGGAGGATAGTTCCTGGCCTGGTTGTTTGCCGGAGGAGCAGGGTACGAGAACTGTGTCTGCGTAGGGGGTGCCGACATGGGCGGAGGCGGATAGCTTTGCTGGCCTGTATGATGATCCTCGTCAGCGGGCTGCCCGACTAAACACTGAAGCTCGTCGTCTGAACTCGACGATGGCATGCGCATACCAGGGGCACTGCCGGCTCCGGGAGGCGCTTGAGAGCAGGTCAGCTTCACGCTCACTTCTGAAAGACGGCCAGCTACTTACGGGGATAGTAGCCAGACATCTCGTTTTCTTTGGGTGATCGGAATCTATAATGCAAAGTGTCCTCACTTCTGGCGGGCGGTCAGTAAAGTAGTTACACAAATCTATCCACACCCCGCACTTAACTCCTTCGCGATGCTTACCCCTCGTAGAGTGGAAATGCGACTTCAACTCACCTACACAATTGTAAAGTTCCAGGTCTCGCCATAGACAACCTTCCGGGGCAATATGACAAGAGACAGCAGGAGAGCGGAATGAAAGATGGAACCGAGCGTATCCAGCACCTTTTGAAGCCGTGTTTGGGCAGGGTCCAATTGCACCTCTGTCGTAAGGCAGCTAAATCGGGAGCCGACATGCAGGTTGATCCAATCAGGGAGCTTCAGCCACACCGGAGACGCGCGGAGAGCTTGTGGACGAGGGCGCTTAGGGCCTGGGAGGAAAGGAGCAGGAGGTCGCCGATTTGACGATTGGCTGGCCAAGCCGGCGGACTGGATGGACCTTCATTTCAGCAGATGGGGTCGACGGTTCGAGACTCGAAGGAAAAAGACGGAAACAGCACTAGACTGTGAGAAACTGGTCATTCGGTCCTAGAGATGGAGGCCATTCCCTGCCAACGTGAGTTGAGCAGCAAGCTGTGTCTACTAAGAGTACTCCAGAGCCAGTGGCATGGTGTGTGGGCTGTTCGGCCGTTGCAGAACGGCCGGCCGCAGAGAGCAAGCTGTCGGCTGTTTGTTGGGCAGACTGTGAAAGCAGCCGTTTTCGTCCGTGCTTCAGTCGAGATTACGGCGACCCAAAGGTTTCCCCGGCACCTTCCGACTGTCCAATGGGCTCAGGAGGCACTGCCTGCCGGTCCGAGTCTGGATTGCATCACCGACTTTGGTCAGGTTGAAGCTTTGGGAGCTCGGACGTCATGCAAAAATAGTCGCAGCCAAAATCGAACCGACTCACCGGCGACGCCGATATACATTGAACCACCGGATCGCTGCGCCCCGCGAAGACTAGGCTGCTAGACGTTCAGTTGTCGAAGCGAGATCACTGACAGAAATTTTGCAAACAAGCCCAGGCGCCTGTGCCAGCTCACAAAGTTCTCGACAAGCGCGCACAGCAGCGAGCTGTCCCTCGGAACACCGGATTTAAGAACACCGAGCCGGACACTCTGAATCAGTGCAGGCGGTAACGGTCGACTTCCTGTCGTAGGCCTGCGCGCTTCGCTTTCTTGCTTCGCCATCCACCTCTTACCATCTCCGAACCAAACCAAGCCGACCGACGACCATGATGCGAACCGCATTCGCGGCGTTCGACGCCGTTCTAGGAGCTCAGGGACATATCGCGAGGGACACTTTTAGCCGGAGATTATGGGCGGGCACGATATCAGCAAGGGCGCCGGTGGTGCCGTGGCATCAGAGGGCGTTCATGTCGCAGCTCAGGGCATTGAGAACCGCGGTGACTCGGTCCGGGTTTACGCGGGCCAGGATACCGCCTTTCAAATCGAGGCGACCATTCCATGCCACGCGCGCACAGCGAGCCGCGGCGCCCAAGGACGGGAATGCGGCGGGCGAACAGGCACTGTCTCTGAGCGGGCGGCTAAGGAAGCTGTCGAGAGAGTACGGCTGGACTGCGGCTGGAGTTTACCTGGCCCTGTCGGTGTTGGATTTCCCGTTTTGCTTCTTGCTTGTCCGGACGGTGGGCACTGAAAAGATCGGTAAGTTGTACCCGGGTTCTGGGAATGCAGTCCTAGGAAACTGACACGCTTTCTCAGCCCATCTCGAGCACATTGTGGTGTCAAATGTCCAGAAAGTCATCCCTGAGCAGATCCAGACTTGGTGGCGTGAGTACCGTCAGGCTGCCAAGGAGGCGAAACGGCAGCGGACTGGAGAGACTGAGGAGCTCGAGGTCATCGGGCATGGCGTTGCGGAGGCTGAGCATCGGAGTAAGCAAGATGGAGCCAGTGAGTGCCGGCATCGTACTTTGATGCTGCCGGTGATTATGCTGACATATCACCTCTTCTAGGCCTGGCTACACAACTTGCGCTTGCATACGCCATTCACAAGAGCTTCATTTTTGTCCGTGTCCCTCTCACGGCTGCCATCACCCCGAAGATTGTTAGGGTGCTCCGATCGTGGGGCTGGCAGATCGGCAAAAAGCCAGTCAAGGCGGCCAAGCGGTAAGCCACGTATTTTGATGCCGCGATACACTACTCTTGGCGGGTTCAACGGCGTCCCAATGGCTGCATCTTGGATTAGGGCGTTTAGAGGATGGCAGCTACATTTAGAGACGGAGCATTTCCCCATAGAATGTACTATCATGTTGTACTAGGATCTTGTATTGAATCTTTGTCCAGTCCAAGTGTTTCCCTGTAACTGAGTCACGATCGTCTTCACTGTCCGGGGAGGAATCGTCGAGAGTGGGTCCTCTTTCCAAAGCCCAGTGCGGTCGTTCAACAAGCGTGCCCAAGACTCCGGACAGGGGCGTTCTTGACCAGAAACTGTTCCTCTCCTCCGGGTTTCTTTTCTCAGCCGCGATCCCCTGTATCTAAGCCACTGGGTTGCTTCTGAGCATCAACTTGAGGTACTTTGCTCCGCTTACATGAAACTTCAAAGACCACAGCTCTGGATCGCATGCGCCAAGCCTTCCACAGCATCCTTTCCCTCTCTCCCTTACCTATGGATTGAACTGCCGTACCTTTCTTATCGTCAACAGCCGAGACCCCTCTGCAAGTCCCGATCTGTATGCATGTCCTGCACGTTGTAATATACAGCCGAATGACGGCAGCGGCGCCCCTCGGTTCCATTTGTTCTAATTGAGGGCTTGGTTGCACCTTGCCGGGCTACCACCGTCAACCCACCCTCTCATGATTCGCCGTCTCGTCGACTTCGCTCATTCCATCTACTTACCCATGGGCCCTCCTCATTGCGACTCCAACGGTTGAAGCGCCGACTTGCCGCTCCATCTTCGATCATGGCTGCGTTGGACGTTGAAAAGCGAGCTGTACTTGCGCCTCCAACGCGCCGCACCCTCCCATGCCTAGCACTCTTCCTCGGGGTCCTGGTCACAATCTCAATCGGGGCGATATCCCGCCGGTGTTCTGAAAAGACTTTTCTTTTCACCGGCTATATTGGTTCTCAAGCCGATCATTCTCACTTCAGGCTCAAGTCTCAGGCGGTCAACAGTCGGTCTCCAACCGCTAAGGCCGACGAGACAACATCCGTTACGTCGTCGGCCGCGGCATCGACCCCAACCGTCCTCAAGACCTTTGAGGTTGCTCAGCCGGTCTTGATGCCCGACGGCCCGGCCGAGAGTGACGGATCACCTCGCCATGGGAAAGATTATTCGCCCGAGCAATGCACCGTCCAGTTGATGAGGCATGATTTTGCCTGGAGTTATGACGCCCCGTTCGTCGGTAAGCTTGTCCACCGCTTGCCTGTGCCTTATGTCCCTTGACCTCTGCTGTCCGAGCCTGACATGATTATGCCCCCTTTAGGGACTTACACCCCGCCTGACTGTGAGTTTAATCGGGTCGTGCTCAACTTCAGCGTTGTGAGCCAGGGTCGGCAGTTTGACCGCCTTGCCATTATGTATTTTGGCGATACTGAAGTCTGTAAGTGGAATGAATACTCTGATACTCCGAGAGCCGTGTTCGTACCGTCAACCATCACACTTGGCCCGCAATCCACGAGCCTCTTTGAGCTGGCCTAACCTGACAACTAGGGAGAACTTCTACCGCCGAGCCCACAGCCCCTCCCGGGATCAGTTGGATATATCTCAAGGACATGACTGAGTACATGTACTTCTGGAAGTCCCCTCAGAAGATTATTTTCGATCTCGGAAACCTCATTAGTGGGTAGCCGCTCTTCTTCACACCAGCAGTGTAGACGCTTACTTTGCACAGATGACAAGTACACGGGCATTTTTAACGCCACCATGACCGCCATCTTCCACAACGCCGACGTCCTAACTGAACAGGCACCCCCAAGCGACCTGATTATCCCAATCTCAGCCCGTCACGGAGCAAATAACTCAGTCAGCCGTTTCATGTTGCCGGCCGAGAACGCAACCAACACCATCAATCTCCCGCGGAATATCCGCCGCGCTGTGTTCTCCGTCTCGGCCAACGGACAGGCAGGCGAGGAGTTTTGGTGGAGTAACGTGCTGCAGAACGACATATACACCTTCAACGCCACCGCTGGCGAGCTTCCCGGCTTGAGTCCTTTCCGTGAAGTTCAGGCGCTCATCGACGGTCAGCTTGCTGGCGTTGAGTGGCCCTTCCCAGTCATCTTCACTGGCGGTGTCGTGCCCTCGTTGCACCGTCCCATCGTCGGCATACACGCATTCGATCTCCGCGAGCACGAGATCGACATCACTCCGTTCCTGCCTCTGCTCTGCGATGGCAAGAAGCACACTTTCACCATCCGTGTCGCCGGCCTAAACAGCACCGGCAACAGCACCTCGGCCACCCCCCTGACCGACTCCGTCAACGAAAGCTGGTACGTCACCGGCAAGCTCTTCCTCTGGCTCGATGACGACCCCTATTCTATTACCACTGGCGACGCCCCAACCATCGTCAGCCCTCGCCCAACCATCGTCATCACCCGCTCGCTTACCACCACCCCAAACGGCACCAACGAAACCCTGACCTACACCACCTCGGTCCAACGCACCCTGCAGATCACGGCCCGCAACCTCAAAACCCAACACTACTCGTCGTCGTCATCATCCTCCCCGGCAGCATCCTGGTCCCAATCCCTGCGGTACACCAACAATGGCCACATCACCGCCTTCGGCTATGCCCAAGTCAACAACCTGCTCATATCGGGCAACGACACCGCCGTTCTGGTGCCCGAGATGCCCTTCTCCACCTCCACCACTACCACCACCTCTCCCTCCTCCTCTTCCTTGAGGCCCAACGCCAGTGGCCTGTCAGTATACCGCGCCGCGTACACCTACCCGCTCTTATGCAACTCGTCCTACGCCGTCTCGCCGCAGGGCGGCAACCTATCCATCTCGGCGCATCTCTGGCAGGGGAAGGAGTTGACTGTGGAAGGGCCGAGTGTGTTTGTTACGGGGTTGGAGGCCTTTTTCTCCTCCCGTCCTGGCGATGATGATGGTGATGGTGAGGAGGATGGTTACATTGCTGCTGCTGGTGGTGGTTGGTGGGGGAGGGGGGCCTTGGCCAGCAGACTGGAGACGATCAAGGAGGGGACGGCTGAGTTGAGGCAGAGTGGGGATGGGAGGGAGAGTATCGGGTGGGGGGAGGCGAGGCAGGTTTTTTGGTTTGGGGTTGAAGCTTCTTCTTCTTCTCATGATCATTGGAGGGTGGGGAGAAGGGAGGAGTTGTATTATAGGGAGGTGGAGGCTGTTAATGGGACGGTGGTGGAGGATTTGAGGCGGATGAAGGGGAGGGAGGAGGAAGGGGGAAGTGAGGGTTGGAAGAGGACGGTGTTGGCGGACGCTGCGGCTTTGGTGTATGCTTAATTGTGAGGTGACGGGTTTTACATGGATTGTGAAGCGAGTTAATTGCCGATGTGTTGCATTTTGTGCGTTGTTTCTGAATGATATGTGAGCGACTGATTATAGGGAACCTTTCACTTGGTAGGAAAAGAGGTAACCCTACGTACGGTACTAACTTGGTAGAAGAGGAGTTCAGTTGAGTTTGGACGTTACCATCTCTGAACCGGAGAATGCGCCTGTACTTTCGTTATATACAGGTGTTGATGCGTTTCACCTGCGGGCTAGGAAGCCACCATGAGCTGGATTGTGTGATGATAATCCTCCACAGGAAAGCACTCAAGCTGCTGTGCTAGGAGTCAAGCACACTTCAATCTGCGCGAGCTACCTTACCTTGATTTTAGCAACTCCCGTAGCTTTGAAGGTCCCTTGCATAAAGGCGGGAGCTCGTAGCTTAGGAAACGGTGTTTCAGCACAATGGGGCGCGCGGCAGTCGCTTCTGCACGACCGTTGCCGGGCCAAAGGTGGGCCCGGGAGTTGAACGGGATCAGGGTACGCATGGCGAATGATTGGCTGTGAGCGACAAGCACTCAAGCAGCAGCAGCAGCTGATTGAGAAGAGCGACCGGGAGCTACCGTCTGTACCACCCCGATTGACAGTCAACCACTTGCCAACACTTTTACTTAGGCATACGGTCTCATCTGTTTTGAGATTGTACCACGGAAATTCATCAGCACGCTTCGTTGGCTCAGAAACAATGACGACTAAGGCAGTTGGAGTTGAGCCCTGGTTGTCGGCGGTTCGTGAAAGCTGTAGGGTGGCCAATCGGGGCTCCCCATGCACCTGCAGACATGAAAGCTTGGTGCATTGTGGCCCCACAATTGCCGTCATCGCCCCACTTTCTGCTCTGCCTGAGATCGATTCCATGATGCTCCCGTGCCAACCGCCTCCCGCCCGTTTGCTGCTGCCGCAGCTTTGTTGAAGACACGGACGCCACTAAGTTGTAAAAGCCAGTCAGACCCCATCACATTTGGCTTCCCTCCGCCCAAACGTGCTGCTTAACCTAATCTTGAACAATTACCGCTTTACCCAGCAATCGTTCTTGGATACCAAGAGAATTCTTCACAAGCTGCATTTCCAAGAATAATAAGTTCCACTCGACTTGACGAGCTCAAGCTTTATTGTAGCCTTTCGACTTGACGATATCCGATTCCTCCGCCTTTAACCAACAGAAACCACACAGCCTCGCCCAACATGGAGAAGATACAACTCCTCCTTCGAGCCATCCAGCTCCTCTTTATCATCATCCTCACCGGCCTGATCGGCAACGTCATCGCGAGCAACATAAATGCGGCAGGAACGGCCACAGCCGCGATCAACTGTATGCCAAACCCCTGCTCTTCTGTCCGTTTCCAGATGTCTCGGGAGTTGTGGAAGTCGCCGTGCCCTAAAGCGGCAGTTTCGCTTCCAAAGACACTCCCGAGTCACCTTCAACAAGCACAAAACGACTGATATTGGTGGACAGTCTCCATGTTCGTCATCGTCCTCTCCTGGCTGGTCGCCCTGCTGGGCCTGGCGACGAGCATGGTAGAGCGGATCCGCCTGCCGGTGCTGGTGTTACTCGGCGCCGACGCGCTCGCCACGCTCTTCACCTTCATCGATGCCATCGTGCTGTCCGCCAAGCTGCGGGCTGTCAGCTGCGCCAACACTGAGGGCCACCCGGGCGATTGGATCGCCTACGGCAGCGCCAACGACGAGAAGCGGTGCCGCGAGGTGCAGGCGAGCACCGTGTTTATGTGGTTCCTGTTCGCCACGTTTACGGCCGCGCTCGTGCTGAGCCTCCTTGGATTCCGTCGCGGCGGCGGAAGTATCAGGTCGTCGGGCCCGACTATGTCTCAGGTTAGGGTATGAGGCTGGTTGGCTCGGAGATGAGTATATGGTTGATCATGGGTATGGGTGAGTGTTTGGCTATCAGGTATGGATACGAAGATCAAAGATAATGGGGACACAAGTTGCCCCTAGGATGTGTATGATGGGCTATGACATGAAGTTATGGATTTCTTATGATGGCACCGACGACAATCAAACAAGTCGTTTAACGGGATATATGGCTAGGACGAATGGTTTGGCCGGGCATGATACGGATCCATGGATAGGATCCACGGACGGGGCTTCTGTAGGATTACCATACCCCTATTGTATTTTGCCAACCCCATGTTTCCTCCTTGCCTAAGCCTCTTCGTGCCGACACAGACAATAACCATCCAATGGGCTGTATATTTGTTGTGAGAAATCAGAATGCTCAATGTACCGAACCCAGATCCGGAACGCCGCGACCGCGATGATGAGTGCCGCCCTTATGGACACAACCTCCTGTCCCAATATGTACTCATGGCTCCTCCCAACCTGTGAACCCACCGAGTCATAACGACGCCGCTGCCTCGACCGCGCCCGCGACCTTGAATGCCTGTTTGCTAGTCCACCGAATTTCGACGTTATGCATCCACTCCATGTATCTCGCCCAGCCTGCATGCAGCACGAGCACAGGTTAGCCAAACCGCAGCCCCCCAAAGGAATCCTTGAACAGGGAAACCCACTCCAGTACGCAAACTTGCGCCCCAAGAATTTGCCCGCAAACGGCATAATGATCATGGTCAGCAGGAGCTGCAGCTGCTCCAGGCTGGCCTCCCACTCCCGCTGCGCGTCGGACGAGTCCGCTTCCGAGTCGAGGATGCTGCTCGAGATGGACGGGAGCGAGTTGAGGTCGTCGTCGTCGCTGTCGGGGGAGGAGGGGGAGCGGGAGCGTGGTATGTCGGGGATGACGAAGGACGAGGACGTGAAGGAGCTCATCATGCTTGATGAGGACATGTCGGGTGATGAAGACATGGCTGGATGTGGTGGGGTGCGCTTCGCAAGGCGCCAAGGGAAGGGGCACAGTGGGATGGAAGTTTTGGTTGGGTTTCGGGATCGGACGGCTTGCGAAGCGGATGAAGTCGGTCAGGGCGGTGGTCAATTGGGCGCCGGCATGGACGTTGATGTTGAAATTGTGAGCTGCCGGGTCCAGTGCTCGAAGCTCGTCCTGTCGACGGCCGAAGCTCCCTCCTGGTAATGTTGAACCGAACTCGGCCTGTGTGAGATGCTACCTGGCACTGTTCAGGTGCCGAACCAGAAGCTGCCAGCAGCTGCCAGACGGCATGATTGCCCCGCTTATCAGGTGATTGAGAGGGACTGAGTCACAGTCGACGGCGGCCAACGTCATGTGGGCAAAGAAAGCTGCCAGATCGGCCGCAAAACATCTTTCTGCACCGTTTAGCGTTGTGCAAGAACCGGATACCTTACCATTGACAGATCGCAAGAAGACCGATTTCGCTGCCAGACCTGCAGGCAGTCAGGAAACGATTGCAGTGCAGACGCACACAAACTCAGACAGCGAACACAAGAAGGCGGTGGAGTGAGCCACTTCCAGAGCGCAAGGGTGCAGTGGCCAAAGATGAGCAGCGAAGTAAGTTTTGTTCAATTCCACCTCCTGCAACCGACTTCTTCCGTTGCACACACACACCACCACGGATTGCCCCTCCAAAACAAAGTCCACGATTTATTCCGTATCCCGCCGGCATTCTTCTTTCAGACAGCCCTAAAGCGAACAACATCCTGTTTGTTTCTCGAGCTTCCCCGCAATTGTCGGTTGTCATATCTGCCAACATTGTGGACGACGCGCGAACCCCGGTAATCACTAACTCTAGCAGGAGTCCACAGTCCAACGGCGGGCGTCGCGCAAGTCAGTTGCATTCACAGAAGAGAAGCTGGTAGTCGACGCCGACGGCAGCGTGACCATGGTTGCCACACCGAACGACGATACCAAGGACACAGCCATGTCGCACACACCCCGTACGCCGCCTCTCTCCGCCGCGCTAGGGGCCTTTACTGATGCCTCTTCAGCACCCGCCGACAGCGCGGCAGACGGCGCAGTCCCGGCCGCCGACTCCAACCCGGATGGTCTCGATCTCTCGCTCATGAAGAAGAAGAAGAAAAAGGTCAAGAAGGAGGAGGATGGCGAGGCTGCCGAGGGCGAAGCGGCGGCTGGTGGCGACGAAGCGATCGACCTGTCGATGAAGAAGAAAAAGAAAAAGAAGGTGACCAAAGAGGAGGATGAATTCGCCAAGAAGCTTGAGGCCCTGAAGCTCGAGGGCGGTGAGGGCGCCGAGGCTCCCGCCGACGAGAACGTGCAAGACGGCGATATGGACAAGGGCACGGGCATTTGGCAGCACGACGAGACACGGACCATTAACTACGACCCGCTGCTCTCGCGCTTCTTTGCCCTGCTGGCGCAGAAGAACCCCGATCACGCCTCAAGCGGCACCCGCTCCTACAAGATTCCCCCGCCCCAATGTCTGCGCGAAGGCAACAAGAAGACCATATTTGCCAACCTCCCCGAGATCTGCAAGCGCATGAAGAGAGCCGATGAGCACGTCACGGCGTACCTCTTTGCCGAGTTGGGTACCAGCGGGAGTGTGGCGGGAAGCGGGCAGCTGGTCATCAAGGGCAGGTTCCAACAGAAGCAGATCGAGAATGTCCTGCGCACGTACATTATAGGTATGCAATCTCGCTTCATTGTTATGACGGAAGGACAACCCTGACTGTTGGTGCTTAGAATATGTGACGTGCAAGACGTGCCGGTCTCCCAACACAGAGCTGTCCAAGGGCGAGAACCGTCTTTAGTATGTGCTTTCCCGTTCCTGGTTCGATGTAAAATTCTTGCTAACAATATGGCAGCTTCATTACTTGCAACTCGTGCGGTTCTCGCCGTTCAGTCCAGGCCATCAAGACAGGTTTCTCTGCCCAGGTCGGAAAGAGAAGGAAGATGCAGCAGGGTTAAGGTGCCTCTCACTTGGCTACATTTCTTTCGTTTCTGTCCTTTGCTTCTCGATTCCGTTCTCTTTAGAGGCTGGAGTTAGGCAGCACTGTTAGTCATGTCTGTACTGCCTTTCTTGCACACTCTCAGCTCTCGGTGGAGGGCCCTGGGACATGATCGCTTGATGTGTGACGACGGGCTTCATATGGGATCTAGAGCGGGTGGTCAACCGGTTATCTGGTATGCTGCAGAATGGCCGGGCATAGGTTCATCTGGCATCGTGAGGAAGCATCTAGGGGGTGTGAAAAAAGACGGAGCCGGTCGCATTCTTGGGCGGCCGTGGCTGGGAGGGCGAGAGACAGGCTACACTGTATTCGCCGCGCCTGGACAGAATTGTATCGTGGGACAGATTGACAGTCAGCGAATAAAAAGCGGTTAACCAAGTCTATGTTGATGCTGGCTTTGAGCTGTTCTCGGAGACTTACTAAAGTGGGGGTGCATAGCAGTCTCCATCCTCCCTTAATTCACAGCAACTCATTGGATGTATCCATACGGGACATCCATCCCCCTCTTTGGCATCTCCTCAACACTCATTCACCCACTACCGTATCTCTCAACTTCTCCCCTGACACTCGACGATTTCAGACCAGAACTGGGCATCCCGCATCCCCCATTTCTTACTCTATCTGTACAAGGTAGAATACAAAAATGACGATCCGCAAAGCCGACGACGCCACGACGGGTACGGTGACCCTACCCCCCGCCGGCCTCCCCTCGCGCAACCCGACCGAGTCGTACTGGCTCCGCGACCCGTCGCCGGTCCTCCTCGGCCACAGGGGCACGCCTGATCTGCCCGAGACGGCGGACGTGGTGGTTGTCGGGAGCGGAATCACGGGGGCGTTTGCGGCCAGGTTTCTTAAGGAGTGGGAGGAGGGGAAGGAGGGGGAGGAGAGGAGGAGGGTGGTGATGCTTGAGGCAAGAGAGGTTTGTTTTGGTGCTACGGGCCGGGTGAGTACCTAGTATTTCTCATATCATGTGTTTGTTTCTTCGTGGAGTGTGGAAGTGTAAGAGGTAGACAGAGAGAGAGTGTGTGTGTGTGTGTGAGAGAGAGAGAGAGAGAAAGATGGAGATGGTGGGCTGATTTAAAGAGGTATAGAATGGAGGTCACTGTCAGCCCTTGGTGTATGGGTCGGTGCCGGCTGTGGCGGCGTTTGAGTTGGAGGTGTTTGAGTTTATGGAGAGATTTGTGAGGGAGGAGGGTGTTGACTGTGATTGGTATGTACCTCCTGATTTTGCTGTCCGCGTGTCGCCGGCCTTCCATTTGCCCTCGCCTTCAATTTTCAGGGGGTTGCCTGAGGAATAGGACTGACTTCTGCAGGGTGAGCCTCACTGGCGTCCATGCCTTCTTTTCCAAGGACATGTTTGAGCTCGCGGCTGCAGAAGCTGAGCAGCTCCAGCAGAGCCACCCCGAACTGGCCGCTCAACTCGATGTCGTCCGTCGTTCGGACTCATCCAGTACGAGCGACAAACCAACCCTCGCCTCCCTCCGGGTCCCCTCCGCTGAGGGCGCCATCATCCAGAAAAAGGCTGCTTCCCTCTGGCCGTACAAGCTCGTCACCTCCATTCTCGAGCGCCTGATCGCCGCCTTCCCCGCCCCAAGCTTCAACCTCCAGACCAACACCCCCGTCACCTCGCTCGCCCGGGCCAATAACGGCGCTGGTTGGACCCTGACCACCCCGCGCGGCACCATCACCGCGCGCCAGGTCCTCCTCGCCACAAACGGCTACACCTCCCACCTCCTGCCGGCCTTTTCGGACCTGATCGTCCCCGTGCGCGGCCAAATCGGTGCCTTGCTACCCCCTACATCACCAAATCCAAAACCAAGTACCGCCTCCGTTCCCCCCCCTGAACCCAGCCGCCGTCCAGTCCCAGTTCCAGTCCCAGTCCCAGCGAAGCTAGTCCACTCGTACGTCTTCGCCGCGGACCCGGAGCTGGGCTCGGTCGCGCCCCGGGATGATTACCTCGTGCAGAGGCCGCTTCCGGAGGAGGGGGAACTGATCTACGGCGGTGGGCGGCGGCTTGCGCGCGGGCTCGGGGTGGGCGAGTGGCGGGATGATGAGGTCGAGGAGGAGGTGGCGAGGTATTTGAGGGCGAATCTGGCGCCGGTTTTGGATTTGGCTTCTTCTCACAGTCATGGTGAGGGTGGACAGCAGCTGCAACAGCAGGGGAAGGAGAGGGAGGAGGAGGATGAGCTCGAGGCGTCGTTTGAGTGGACGGGTATCATGGGGTACAGTCGGGATCATCACGCGTGGGTTGGGGCAGTGCCCGAGAGTCTGGGCGGGGGAGGGCCCGAGGGAGGGCTGTGGATCTGCGCCGGGTATACGGGACATGGCATGCCGGCTGCGGCGTTGTCGGCGCGGGAGGTGGTGAGGCAGATGATGGGCGGGAAAATGGGAGTCGAGGAGACGGGTGTGCGACTTCCTGACGAGTTCGTGCTGCATGAGGAGCGAGTGGCTAGGGCTAGGGAGTTGCCTCACTTGACGCAGGGCTGGGAGGCCACGAATTTCGCGGGCTTGATCGGTGGTGCGGGCGTGCCTGCTGGTGGAAAGGGGATGTAATACAAGCGGGGTTGGCGCTCTGGTGATACATGGTCGGCAGCAAGGACCTGCGGTGGGCTGAGTGCGATTTGAGGCACTCATGGTAGGAACGTGAGGCTTTAGTCGAAACTTGGCGAGGAAAGATTCAAAAGCTCACCAGCTAGCGCCTTTTGGGAGGGACGTAGCTGGCTACGAAAACCCCAGTGGTGCTTGCTTCGAGTGGGAGTCGAACTGGTTCGTCGAATATCATTTGCGGACGCCGCGACCGGTTTGAAGGCGCCGCGGCTTCTCGCTCGGCCAAACGGCTAGTGCCAGTAGTGACTGTCAACAGGAGAGGTTGGATGCGGGTGTTGGGAGAAGGTGTTGGGAGACGGCTTATGAACCTTGGGCACCGTTACCTAGTGGATGGGCAACAAGATGGGATGGAAGGCTCCCTGGCACCGGTTCGTGGGTAGAATTCCAGTTACTCCCGCCCATTAGTGAATGACTAAGGGATCATTCACCTACTTTGGAGCTTCTGACGAGGGGCAAGAGACCTAGAGACAAACGGGATCTATACACTCTGTGGACTGAGGGTACCACGGCAACAAGGGCTTGCAAAACACCCTCGCCTATGGAACCTCTAACCGAGCATGCATATGTGTTTCTGGGGAAAGGCGCATCCATGTGGGACGAACCAACCGTATATACAGCATGATGAAGCGAATCAGGGCCTGAAGGGGAGGGGTGGGCTTGTAACCAAAAGATCAGGCAGTAGGTGACGAGGGGTTGGGAATTGGACCAAGATGCGTAGCCATTTGACTTCAATCTCGGTTGCTGTTTCCTCCGAGGAGAAAGGGACAGAACGATGATGGTAACTTCTCCATGGCCAGTGGCGGGGTAAAGACAAAGAATCAAGAGGTTGACCTTCAGTGTTATAGAGCTCTGGGTAGAACTGAGGCCCGTCGTCGTTGGTTTCTACTTTCAACCACATGAACCTAGCCTGTTCAGGCAGATGCAGATCTCTCCATGCTTCCAGAACCCCTTGATATGCCCTATCATGCGAATGTCATGTGAGTGTAGAACGAGTGCCGTTGACCCTCTCGTAGCCAGCCGGAGAGTAACGCCTAGTCGTAGAGAACAACTCTGTGCAGATCCGTTGCCTGATCAAGTTGACGGCAGAAAAAAGCAGGATACAACGGCGCGAGGGGGAAACAAAAGCTGGATGGATGTCTGATGTATCTTGGGTAGTATCACCGTCCAGATGAATCCTTCGATGCAGACCGTTCCTTCGGCAATTCCGCCATGTTCATCTTGTCCACTATCGGAGAGACTGAGGGAGCTTTTGTCAACGAGAAATGCGATGAGATGGAACATCCTGCAGGGGCAAACAGAAGCTCAACATGTGTCTGCCTAAGAACGGCGGCAAGTGGTTCCTCGTGAGAATCCAGCTTTAGGACACCTACTTCTGTAGAGCGGCGGCGTTGAAATCAAAAGCACGAGATCTCGGGATTGCCGAGCTGGCATCATCTTCTGAAAGCCGGCCGGACTCACGGTGATGCAGAGATGATGGCTCGATCAAAGCAGAAGGATAGATCAACTGCTTCCAACCGTCTGCTTTCCATCGGGCTCACCTCAGAAACATCAGAAGAGGCGGGCGTGGCGATCTGGAGTCTTGTCGTGATGGTCTAGCCGGAGCCCGCAGGACATAGTATCGACTCAGCACACACCGAATCCTGTGAGACCGGATGACCCCATCCATGAGCCATCGTCAGCAGTCGATTGCATTCCATGCTGCTCTTGCCCCGCTCTAAGCGGGATGGATTCTCGGACTTAATAGAAAATTTCGAAGTTTCGTGGTTGCCTGAGCGAAAGTTCCAAAGTTCCAGTCGGTGCGGTAGGCAACAGAATACCATATAACATCAAAGCTCCCGAGTCCGAGCCGGATGGAACAAAGACGGGTTAGAGCACGGTAGATTGAAACCACTAAGGAAATCGCATATTGTTTTCGACAAAGGATATAATCGATGGAGTGAACGGAAGGGGAGGGACCTAAGGTGGAGAATGGCAGATGGTCACCGTTGGATGTTTACAGGGAAGGAGCGGGCCGTTCAGCGCGATCACCGACCGACAGGGGCGGGTTTCCGGGTCCGACCAGCGGGACGCTTCCGCTACAGCCGCTGTAACACTGGCTAACGGGCAGCGGCACGCGGACATCAATGGAAGCTCGCGTCAGTCACATACACTGACAGCCACCCGACCACCCGATGTCAGCACACCCGATGTCAGCACATCCAATGCCGGTCAATCACGTCACCGACCGTTGAATCTCACAACTCGACTCATCGAACCAGACAATCAAACCGTCGTCAATCCACCTCGGCCGCACAATGGTGGCGATAACCGATGACGAATGGGCCGACTTCGTCGCTCACGAGCTCCCTAACGTATCCGACCCTGTCATACAAAAGTACCTTGAGAGCCGTCGCGCCCTGATAGCCGAACAACAAAAGCGTCGAAGCGGTAGTATTCCTCTTCCGTTACTTACATCAGTGCCGCAACAGCCAAACCATATGCTGGCTTCCCAAGTCCACCTCAAAGAGCTGCTGACCACGGGACAGACTATTCCTTCCGTCAGGCCCTATCTCCCATTGCGAAAAAGGCATGCGATATTGTATCCAGGGTTCGCAATGAGGAGAGGCAAGCAGGCAGTCTTACAACCCGCCAGGCAAGAGCGCTCAAATCGTGGAGAATCATCAGGCGCATGCCCAAAGGCGCACTGCTCCGCACACACTGCTGTTCCCTGGCAGATATCGACCACCTCATCGAGACTGCTCTTGAAATTCCAGGAGTGAGCATCTCGTGCCCAACCAGCCATCTCGCCACTGTCGCGGCCAGGAAGGAGACAGGGTTATGCATCCGATTCAGGGGCATGGAGGACCCTGACGACTGCTCACTCTGGGCTCACGACTACACGCCGGGCACGTTCATGTCCTTGACCAAGGCAGCCGGCAGTTACCCCGAAGGAGGCAGACAGGGATTCGTGGAGTGGTTGAAAGGGAGGTGCAGGATGTCTGGGCCATCCTCCGGCGACTCCGACTTGACGGGCCTCATGCTCTTCTATGAGCCCATCTGGCGAGCATTCCTCCAGCGGTTGATGACCAACCTGGTCGAAGAAGGCATCGCTTGGCTGGAGCTGCGGTGAGCAACACACTCCTTCGCGGTCCGAGGAATGGGCCTCCGCCACGGGCCATTGCACCTGCCGTCCCTCACCGAAACTCCCGGTGACCTCAGCGGGAAAGGAGATGAGGAGAATGCCGCTAATTCCAAAGATGTAGGCTCACATTCCCGTTAGTCTATTACCGTGAGGGATCGGAAGTACCGGAACCCGACTACGACCACATGTTCCAGACGGTTGGAGAGGAGGTGGCCAGATTCCAGGCCACCGACCCAGGCAGACGGTTTTGGGGCCTACGCGTGATATGGTCGACGATGCGCAACCAGGATCCACGGTTGATCATCGAGAGCGCCGACGACTGCATCGCAACCAAGCTTGTGTGGCCGCATCTCGTGGCCGGGTACGATCTCGCTGACTCCGAAGACCTGGGCAGGCCGCTAGCGGACCTCCTCCCGGAGCTATTTTGGTTTCGCAAACAGTGCGCCGTCGAAAAGGTGCAGATCCCCTTTTTCCTCCGTGCGGGAGGATGTCGTGGTAATTACGACACACACGCCACCGGAGAAGGCGACATCGTCGACGCCCTCCTCCTGGGAGCGCGGCGAATTGGGCACGCCACGTCTCTCCACAGACACCCCCGCCTCGTCGAAGCCGTCCGCGACAGACGCATCCTGGTAGAAGTCCGCCCGGTATCCGAGAAAGGGCGCGATCCGTCAGCGGACGTGGCCATGCATCACGGTCTCCGGGCCCTGCTGGCACAGGGCGTGCCGTGCGCCCTATGCGACGATGATTCCGGAATCCTGCCCAGACTGAATCGGAACGTTGGCTCACGAATGACGGACATCTTCTGGCAGGTACTCCACGCTTGGGAGGAAAGCGACCTAGCCACGCTGGGATCACTGGCTGAGAATAGTGTGCGTTGGGCCGCCTTTGAGGATCAGGACTTACAGATCTGGTACGTAGCCCAGCCTCCTCTTTTCTCAATGTTCAAGTTCCATCCTACTTTATCCCTATTTGGGTTTTCAGGTGTTGGTTTGGCAAGCGCCAAAACATGAAATGTCGCTGCCTAAAGACACTGCCCACTTTCCCCACCATAAGAGGACATCGATCGGTAGGCTGACGAAAATAAACTTGTTCAAGGGCAAAAGATATCCGGGCAGCAAGCGTGGGGTCGGGGGTGAAGGCCGCTCGATTACAGCAATGGGCCGTCGAGTGGGAAAGGTTCTGTCTCTGGGTCGTCGCGGAATACGGCAACGATGGGGATGCCGCCGTCGCCCAATGAAAGCACTGCCCGGTTCCGTCCCAAGAGCCTACGCTTAATAAGTTCTGTCGGAGATTTTGAGGTACGATCGGTAGCGGGAACGGAAGCCGGGACCGTTTGGGTTGCTGGGCGTCTTGAACTACCCTACGATGACACACATCACGGGGTATCCCGGGCCTCTCCGACAGTTGTGCAACGGCGTCAGCGGGTTTCGGGTATTTCGCACGGTTGGTAGTCATCAGGCGTGGCGTTCTGCAATGGGTGCGGGCTCGCGGCTCAAATTCCTCCAAGGCGGTCGTCCCTTCTCCGGCGAGTGTGGGTAATGTGTTTTTACCGCCCAGGCTGTTTTGCGTGCAGCGAAGCCAAACTCCGGACTTCGGAAGTGGAGTCCTCAAGGCTGTCGTCTGAGGCGTTCATCTTCCCTCCGTGGCCTGCTATCGCCGGGGGGCGGGTTTCGGGATTTCATCATGACCTGGTTGTTGTTGTGGTGGGCAGGGAAACGAACCGTCACTCCCAAACTTCTAAATCCGTCACAAATCCATCCACCTCGTCGATTCCATGCCCTTATTGCGTGAATCGTCAATTTCAAGGTGGGCAGAAAAGGATTGCGAAACAAATGCCCACTTGTGCAAAGCCACATAGGTGCGCTTGTTTCAGATTATCGACGACACCAGCGAGCTCAGCCTTAATTCTAAGCGCCGGGCGATGGCGAATTTGAGTTTAAGCACCAGCGATCCTTCTACTCCGCTCCAAACACCAATAACGTTACATAGTAGCCCTAACGTTATGCTGTGGGAGCTCCCGGACTGCCCGATTCCTTGGGGTTGGGGCTCGCTCTCGTCTGATCACGGTAAGGTAGGTACGTTACTCGGTACCTGACACCAGACTATACTACAGTACGGAGCACCCTTTCCGTTTCTCCCCTATGGATGTACACGCGCCGTTTTGGCTAACGTTACAAGCGCGCGCCGTTGTGCACAAAGGCTGTCTTGGCGGCTGGGGGAGATCTGTAATGGTACGGTACCCGGGCGACGTAGTCGGGCAAGTGTAGGGTATGTCGGGTTTCAACTTTTCAAGAGAACATCCAACATCGATTGGAACAGAAAAGATACACATGCCATGAAGAATAGGTCAGCAGAAACTAGTGTGGTTGTTCGCGTCGTCAACCCGCCCCATGAGGGCCTTTGACGCAAGGGCTCCTTCCCGACCCCGGAACCAAGGTTAAGGATCTAGGCCGGGCCCGCCTAGGACCCGAGTCACATGATGGGTACGACCCTGCACGTCTCTTTTGGGAGCACTTGCCATACGCCGTTACGCTGCCCCAGGTACAATAATTTACTTGGACACTACGTTTCTCAATGGAACCTGTAATCTACAGACCGGACGTACCTAAAGTCCGAGTACACCTTAATTCGGTTGTACTCCGTCACTCGGCGGAGTTAAGCTGTCCGGCCGCGGGTCATAGGGTTTTGTTAGTCCTCCGTAGGCAGTTAATGATGGATGGCAGTCGGCCGCGGGGGCGCGGCCGCCCAGGGGTTCATGTGCAGCTGCGGCAGGCTATTGGCCAGCTGCACGATCTTGACCTGCAGCCACATCACAAGGTACTGCGTAGGCAACAACACAAGAAACCTGATACTCATGAGCTCATGTGATGGTCATGTTCCGTTTGTTCGTATATTTGCATTGTGGAATTGATCCGGAGGTATCTACCTTGAGCGACATCTAAGCTATGTGTACTGTACAAGAATATTGGCGCCCTTCATGTTCTCGTAACAGCAAGGGGAAGGAGGGGGTGGGGGCGGGTGTGGTAATGAGAGGAAGATGAATGCTCAGATGGGGGCATTCACCCAGACATTTTCGAGCCACCTCCTGAAGCTCAGGGGCTGCACCTGTGTGGCCTCGTTGAGGTTGGGCTGGCGGACGTGGTACCGCCCGTTGGCCGTTTGGAGCAGCCGCTGGAAGTAGTACCACTGCGCCCAGTCGCCGCGCTGCTGGCAGGCCTCGGCCTGCGCCTCGACCTCCTGGTAGTGGCGGGCCACGAGCCCAAAGGGCACGCCCATGGCGGCTGAGCACGCCTCGACGAGCTCCTGCGCCGTCACAGTATCGCCCCGCATCCGGAACTCCCGCGGCCAGTTGTCTGGGCCCAGCTCGATAGCGGCCGCGATGAACTGGGCGACGTCGTAGACGGAGGTCATGGAGATCTTGACCGGCCTCCCGCTGGCTGGGTTGATTGGGATGATTTCGGCTCTCGCCTCCTGGACGTTGACGAGATAGTCGTCCGGGCCCTGGACGCCACACCCGGCCCCAATGCCGTACGTCTGCAGGCCGCCGGGCCCGAAGCGTTCCATGAAGACGCCGCATGAGAAGACGGTGTAGCGCAGTCGGTGGTGCGACTTGGACTGCGACCAACTCTCGAGCAGCTGGAGAGCCGACTGCGAGCCGCGGTCGAGGGGGTCATTTTGCGCCGGGCGGTGGCTCAGGTCGCCCTCGAACTCGGAGGGGACGAAGACGCGTACGCGAGCCCGCCGCGCCGCGTCGATGAGGTTGAGCTGCTCGTTGCCGGCGATGGTGGAGATGACCAGGTCCACGCCCTGGAGCGTGTACCGCAGGTTCTCGACATCGTCGTAGTCCACGACGGCGACTTGGCACCCTGGGCAGTACTCCTCAAGCTCGGGACGAGGCTGTAGCATGGTCAGCAATCTGGGACTTGACCTGTTGAGCTGGAGGGTGGTGGAAAGCGGATCAAACTCACTCTGCGGGACAGAACAAGAAGGGCGTGTGCGGTCTGGCTGACCTGCTGTGCTAGGATTTGGGCGAAACCGCCGGCGCCGGCAATGGCGATCCTCATCATGGCAGACTGGGTAGCTCTATGCTTCATGGTGAAGAGGCGGAGATGGCAAGTCTGATGGGCTAGCGGACGTGACGGCGGAGGAGGAGGAGAGTTGTGAAGTGGAAGGTGTTGAAGGTGTTGATGTCTCTGAAGTACTATGGGGGCTTCATGTTTAGAAAACGCCGTCAAGAAGCGCTTATATAGATGTGTCGGTGAACCTGAAGGCGATGATCTCATGGTCCATGGCACAGCAGAGACATTTGCTAGTTGTCAGGAGCTCAGGGGCGTAGGATCAGCTCGTGCCATGACGGTGACAGGCGTTCACCGCTGAGGCGATGAGGACGGCGAGGTCTCCAAGGGGTGTTGTTTGATGGATGAATCGTATTGGGCGCGAGAAGAGGATCTGCATGCTTGGAACAAGTGTCCCGACAATCACCAGCACTCAAAATCCTAAATCGGGCCAAGAAGCTGTTGTTGTGGAGGCTAAGGGATTCCTTCCATGTGGCACAGATATTATAGCTGCCAAGAGATACACCTCATCTAGCTAATGTGGGTACCTGTGTATGTACAGAAAAGGGAGAACGTTTCCTTGGGATGGTCGGTTCCGGCAAGTCATGCAGAAAGGGCGGCACGCCGCATAAGGCGGTTCGTCGGCCATGGCCCCGGATCTTTCGGCTGGCAAGAACTGGGAGGGCTCCTCCTCAAGAAGGCAACAATCATATCGTGGCAGGCGGCATGCCAACGAACCACCGCCATGGCCCATCGATCGATGGGATGTGCAGCTAAGGCGACCAAGACAGGCGTGATTCGGCGATTTTAGCATGGTTGCTGCAGAGCTGCGCGTCGTGACGGAAAGGGGAATGAGCTGGGCTTCCCGTCTTGGGATCTAAGCCGTCGAAGCGGAGGCCGGGGTGATTGGGGCTCCGTGTGAAAGAGATCGAAAGGACAGACAGCCGAGATGCAGCGGGATTCCACTCGCGTTTCTCGCGTTTCTACGACTGAGGAGCGCGAGAAGGCGGCCAACGGAAACGGTCCCAGGAACTGGACGGCGTCAATAGGCGAGTGTTGGCAAAGGGTGCTCTCAGAATGGCCGAGGACGGATGGAAACTCGCCGTTTGAGGGTCGAGGTAAGGCACAACTGGGCGAATTACCTGTTCAGGTAGTTACCAAAACGAGTAATTAACTTATTAATCAAGCAGGCTTGAATAAGGTATGGGACGCGGTTGGCCCAAAATTAGACGCCGCTGGGGAACGACTTGGGGTTCGAAGCAAAGTTAACGCTATGGAGAAACGCGGCTGTGTTAAGGACAAGGGGGCGCTCCTGGGGCTCCATGGATGATGAGGTGGTGCCTTGTTCGCCGAACAAGGAGCCGATGCCGAGTCAAATCTGCTGGTAATTTCAGACGGCACTGCGTCAAGAAGGAGTACTATAGTATCAGCAAGACTTTCCGCTCAAGCACACTTATATGCCAGAACAGAAAGGGGTTCGCCTGCATGAAGGCATTCACCGAGTTACCTCATATGGGAAGTTCGTTTTCAGCCAAGTCAACCAATCAAATAATGCGGCACCCCGATTGATAGGACGCCAAGCTTCGACAAATACTTGATTCACCACATCCACTAAATACATACATAGTGTAGGAAGCAACTCACAGTTCGATCAAGGCGGAGCAGCACCTGGAACTCCTTTGGTGTGCCAGTCCTAGCCGAATTGGCAGCGCGCATCCGCCAACCGATGAATACGCAACAGCGACATTGTCCATAAAACGGGCTTGTTGGGGGCCGTTTGCTGATTGCCCAGCAAGCTGTTGGCGGCAGAGCGAGGCTTGGGCAGTTTCGAAGAGTGGCCGGGGACTTGCAGGATTGTGGTTCAACAAGCTTCGTGGATCACATTGTCAAGACGACAACGCCACCGCGCGACGAATCTGGCATCAATTCGCAAGACGTGGCGTAGGTAGGAGGATTAACAAAGTTGCCGCAGCTTCATCCATCAGATGAAGATGATGACATGTTTCAACGTCCCGACACTCCGCGGAACGGGAACGGATTCCCCGCCCCCATTCGTGAAGCGGGAGTCCGTGCGCTTACCGGCAAAGAACGGAGTGATGGCCCCATGTGAGTGCCGAAATCTTCCCCACGAGCTGACTCAACCCATAACCGTACCCCCGTACCTCTTCATGCTCAAACTCCACCAAACAGACACCAGCACTTGACACCAGCACTTGACACCAGCACTTGACACCAGCACTTGACACCGTCAACTTCACTGTGGAATATAGGGGCGCCTTTGTCGCCTTGCCATGTTACAGCCCTTGGCAGAACTTCAAGGTATCTTTCAAGAGAAAAGCACCTCTCCGAATCACATCGGGGGCGGCTGTTCTCTTGGGCGTCTTCACATCTCTCGCATCTCGGCCTATCGTTGCCACTCCCTCCCCCGACTAGAGGGTCATGGCTGGCAGTGTGGGGTAATCAATCCAGACATTGATTTGCTCACGCCCGCCGCATCCAAGCATGCCGCCGGCCGCCGGGGGAGCAAGTGCATAGGGCTGATGCATCCCTTGGTGGTTTTAAAGCCAGATAAAACTTCCAAGTCTCGAACATCTGGCACTGCCATGATGTATCGTGCGTCGGATTCAGTCACAGGTTGCATCATAACCGTTTTATCCGGGCACCCCTGCTCAAACCTACACATGGCACACATCCCGAGGAACTTGGGAGATTCACAATCTCATTTGCGTGCTTTGCTTCCAAACCACGCAACCTGGAAGTCGTTTCCGCTGTGTCCTTCCGAAGTCACTTGCTTCTTAGCGAACCCACCACCATCTTGATGTGTTGGTTCAACGCAAAATTTCGAGATTCTGCTGCCTAAAATCCATGCTACGCCGGAACCACCTCCCTCCTCTCATCAGAGTTCAATGTGAGGAACGAATACTCACTTCATTATTCCAGGGTATCATCATCGAACACGCCCGTTCTTCCACGCACCATATCCCGCGACCTCAACGACCGGAAATTGGAAAGAGAAAAACAGGAAAGGAGTATCAGTACTGCGGACGAGCCTCAGCCTGCTTCTGGATATCGTGCTCGGCCCCGCGCTGCTGCGTCTTGCCCGTGTCGTGCCGGTCCTGATACTCGGCCTGCTTGGCCCGGTCGCCCGTCAGGCCCGCCACGGCGGAGCCCACCGCCCCTGTCACGCGGTCGCCCGCGCCCGAGGCGAAGTCGTTGAGCTGCCCGCGCGCCTCCTGCTCCTGCCCGGTCCGGTTCTGCTGGCGGCCAGAATGCTTGAGATTCTGTTGTTTCGTAACAGTATTAGTTGATCTTCCCCTTTGTTGCAAGAAAGGGCCGTCAATATACGGGAGACATACCTCGTTGCCGACGATGTTGCCAAGAGCCTCCTTGGTGGACCCGACCGTCTGGTTCCACGAGCCTGTCGTGCGGTCGGGGTGGTCCTTGGCCACGCCCTGGGCGGACACGGTTGCACCGGGCAGTTTGACAGCGGCGTGGGATGCGTCGTGCTCGGCCTGAGCCTTGTCCTGCTTGGTCTTGCCCTCAACCTGTTTTGTTGCATAATGTTTGTCAGTGTCTGAGATCAGATGTTCCCAGGGTTTCGGCGATGCAGTGATGCAGCATGCTTACCTCGTCGCGACGGCTGTCGGTGAGATTGCCTACGGCATTCTGAACGGCACCGGTGACCGAGTCAACGTAGGACTTGAGGGTAGAAGCGTTAGTAGTGTTGTTGTTGTTGTTGGCAGACATGATGGCTGATTGTTGTCGGGTTGCACGTCGATGTTTGAGTTGAGTGTTGGATGTTTCGTTCCGTAGGTTTGGTTGGTGATGGCGGAAGCCGAAGACTGGAAGGGTAACTTATCTTCTTATATCTAGGAAACCCGTTCACTCCAGTGCTTCTGAAAACCAGCGTTATGGCAGTCATTGTCGTGGTGTTTGCTCTCACCAGTGATGTCATAGGTCCCTGATGACATCATCCCGCGGCCTTGCGCAGCAATCTCAGCCCTATGGGACGATCCACGCGATGGCAGGTGGCCGGGAGGACACGCGTTTCTCGGATCAAGCTCTTCTGCTTGTCTTAGCTGTGACGTTTGCAGTGCATGTGATTCAACAACAATCCGGTTCAATCCAACACCTTACCACGAGCAACTTTCAAGCATGTGACTGCCAGAGAACCCATTGAGTTTGCGTCATACAAGACCTAAGGCAGGCTGGACTGGCGAGTGATAACTGTCCAAGTTTATTCTGCCTCTCGCAGAGTAAGATATACTGAAATACAATCAGGTTACCATGTGTCGGAAACGACTTAGAAGCATCACCTCCCTCACAGATTCACCATCTGCGTCGGTCGCCAATTCGACCCCTTTGGCTGTCGTCAAACGTAACAAAGAGGGTGTAGGTATACAGGCACGGCCTCGAAATCTCAATAGCATTGGGACATTGTGTTTTCAAACTTCAAGGGAAATTGAAGGGGAGAAATGAACCACCCTTGCGTTTCCAGCAGCCCTGGCATATCTACTACGACGATGAAGGTGCTCGCATCGTCTTGGATGTTGACAAAAGATCTTTCGGTTCAAACAGTCCGTTAGGGCTGCGTCCCTAGAAGGAAGAGAGGGAATAACGACCAGCTAACAACAGAATATCAAAAACGGCTCAGATCGATGACAGTGCCATGCCAGCTGGGCATGTTCCTTACAGACCGGGGCGCACCTCGCAAGACTGCAGGGTTCTTCTGCTTGGTACCTTAAACCCAGCGCAGTGAAAGCGTTGAGAAACACATCGACTAAATTCAAGGGCCACATCATCTGGACGACCTGACAGACAGCAACCGGTTAGCTTGAGGGACGAGAGGTATCGAAACTCATGATATCGTTTTCCACCAATCCACCTAAATACACTAGTTATACAAGTTTGCCTGCTCCGATTTCCGAGGGAGCTCAGTTGCCCGTTACGTGTTTACTGCCATCTGCTGTGTAATATGTCCCGTCGAAACATAACCAAAACGCACCTACTCCGACAACTCCTCCTTCAGTAATACCATCAAAACTGCCGTGTCCACTAGTGCTGGGTCCACTCAATCGTGTTGAGATCGACACCCTCCTGAACAAGCTCCCAGAGCGGGCTGAGCTCGCGGAGAAAGCCGACGCGCTCCTTAACCGCCTTCAGGACATAGTCAATCTCGGCCTCGGTCGTGAACCGGCCGATGCCAAAGCGGATGCTGGAGTGGGCGTTCTCGTCGCTATTGCCGAGCGCCCGCAGCACGTAGCTCGGCTCGAGCGAGGCAGAGGTGCATGCGCTGCCCGAAGAGAGGGCAATGTCCTTGAGCGCCATAAGCAGGGACTCGCCCTCGACATAGGCAAACGAGACATTCACACAGCCGGGGTAGAAGTGCTCCGGGTCGCCGTTCTGCGAGGTGTGCTCCATAGAGAGCAATCCGTTGAGGAGGCGGTCCGAGAGGGCCTTGACTCTCTTGTGATCATACTGCCGCCTGTCAGCAACCATTCTAACAAGCATTGCGAGCAGGTGCGGTAGGCGAGAATTTTGAAAGAAGAGGAAAAAATCAGAGAAGGTGCTGTCTATCAACAGTATGACCTGTGTCACGAGGCTTCAGAAAGCCATGCATGTATTGAGCGGTTCATCATGTGAAGTGTCCAAGGGCAAAAACAATGCGCAGGATGTAGGAACGCACCTCAAGCTCTTCAGCTGCGATGCGGCACGCCTCTCCAAACCCAACAACAAGGGCGGGAGCAAGCGTGCCGCTGCGAAGGCCGCGCTCTTGTCCACCGCCGCTGATGATGGGCTCCAGTCTGACTCTTGGCCGACGGCGCACGTAACACGCGCCTATCCCCTTGGGGCCGTAAATTTTGTGGGACGAGATGGACATCAGATCCACGTTCATGGCGTTGACGTCAATGGGAATCTTGCCCACGGCTTGGGCGGCGTCCGTATGGAAAAAGACCTTGTTCTCCCGGCAGATCTTGCCGATCTCTGCCAGCGGTTGGATGACGCCAATCTCGTTATTCACGGCCATGATGCTAACCAGCGCCGTCTCCGGGCGGATGGCGGCCTTGAGCTGCTCGACGTCAATCAAGCCCTTGTTGTTGACGGGTAGGTACGTGACCTCGTAACCTTCGTCCTGAAGATGCCTGCAGCTGTCAAGCACGCACTTGTGCTCCGTCTGGCTCGTGATGATGTGGTTCTTCTTGCCCGATCGGCCGAAGAACCTGGCCACGCCCTTGATGCTCATGTTGTTGCTCTCGGTGGCGCCGCTGGTGAAGATGATTTCCTTAGGGTCAGCGCCGATCAAGGAAGCGATATAACCCCTGGCCTGCTCGACCGCGTGCTCGCTCTCCCAGCCATATGCGTGTGTCCTGGAGTGGGGGTTGCCGAAAACACCTGTGTAGTATGGTAGCATGGCGTCCAGCACCCGCGGGTCTACCGGCGTTGTGGCCTGCATGTCAAGATAGATGGGCCGTTGGCCCTCGTCCATCTGTGTTGCCTGCTTGAGGACATCTGATTGTCAACTACGTTAGCTCCGAGGCAGCTCGGCTTGCGCGGGTGGTAATTTCTTACCAGCCATCGGGCTGACATGTGTCGTGGACCGATTTTGCGTCTCCATGACGAGACCTGACTTCTCCAGCTCTGGCCTGTCCAGCCGGATGGCCGTGTCTACTTGAACCTGGGCATTGTCGGACTTTGTCTGGGTGACATAGCACCTTTTGCAGACGTCTCCACTACCGCGCGCCGAAGGCGTGGCGGCGCGGGAGACAACCTGAACGGTGCGCCGCGGAGCTGCAGAAATGGATGACTTTGATACCAGACGCGACGCCTGCCTTAGGACCGATGGTGCGATATTGGCCATGGTAGTTGAGGGAGCTGGGGTTGCGATGTCGGGGAGAAAGTGCAGGAAATCTGCGATGCGGGATTGACGGAGCTATCGGTTTTGTCGCAGACGGAGTCTCCACGGAAATCCTCCGTACCTTTCTCTACACAGTGATTGGTCGTAATCACTCGGACCCCACAAATTCCCGGATGCTGTCACTCAAAGATGACGAAGGGCTGGGTGCTTTCAGCAGATGACCACAGCCCAGGATTCGAATAGTCGTTTCTCAAGCATTTCTCAGGGACCTTCCTATTGTTTTCTATCCGGCACACTCAACCACTGAGCATGCGGTGAGCATTCATCTAACCCTATTCGTTTCTCTCTTCGGCATTTGTATCCCGAACCCTTGCGACCCATTAGCAGCCGAGTCTTGGCAGAGGGTCAGAGTTCGGTTTATGCCGGCGGCAGCGCCACTCTCCATCAGCCAAGGAACAGCTGAGCCCGGCACCGCCTCGGGAGCATCGTCATCGCCCAGAAAGGCATCAGGCGCAACCCTTGAAAAGACTCCCCAGAGCCTCCATAAGGCCCAAGCGCCGACCACCCTCCCCAAACCCCCAATATTCGCAGAAGAAACTGGCGGTAAAGCTGCCAACTAACAGCGATAGTCTGCTTCTCTTAAGTCAGATTAAAGCCAGAAAATGAGTTTCAAGGGCCTTCAGAAGGGGATTGTCCGCGTAAGTTGCTGCCCCGCCCGCATTGGGTCCGTTTTCATAGTTCGCAGATGTCTCCAAAGAGAAAAGAATAGGAGGGAAAACCTAACGGCGGACTTGACGAATGCTAGGCGCCTCAACAACTGAAGGCAAAGTTCAACATTGGCGAGCACACCAAAGACGCCGTCTACATCGATTCGGAGCGCCGGTTCCAGGAACTCGAAACCGAGACGAAGCGCCTCCACGATGAGAGCAAAAAGTACTTTGAGGCCATCAATGGCATGCTCTCGCACCAGATCGAGTTTTCCAAGGCCATGACCGAGATCTACAAGCCGATTAGCGGCCGCATGTCGGATCCCGAGACGCTCAAGGTGCAGGGCAATCCCGAAGGCATCCGTGCGTGCGAGGAGTACGAGGCCGTGGTCAAGGACCTGCAGGAGACGCTGGCGCCGGAGCTCGAGATGATCGAGAGTAGGGTAATTGGTCCGGCGAACGAGCTGATGGACGTCATCAAGGTGATCCGCAAGACGGCCATTAAGCGCGAGCACAAGAAGCTCGACTACGATCGCCACCGCGCCACCCTCAAGAAGCTGCAGGACAAGAAGGACAAGACGGCCAAGGACGAGAAGGCCCTGTGGAAGGCCGAGAACGACGTGGAGCAGGCGACCCAAGAGTTCAACTACTTCAACGACCTGCTCAAGGAGGAGCTTCCTAAGCTGTTTGCGCTCGAGCGCGAGTTCATCCAGCCGCTCTTCCAGTCGTTTTACTACATGCAGCTCAACATCTTTTACACCTTGCACGAGCGCATGCAGCGGGTAGATATCGGCTACTTCGACCTGACGCTCGACCTGGAGGAGGCCTTCCACAACAAGCGCGGCGACGTCCAGGAGCGCGCCGAGGCGCTCTCCATCGTCAAGTTCAAAACGACGGGCCAGAAGCGCCCGCCCAAGTACGCTCCCAAGCGTCCCGGCGCGATCGAGGCAGGGCCCAAGCCGGCCGGTCTGCTCACGGCAGGAACATCCACCGCCGACGTGACAGAAAACACGTCGTCATCACCGGCGTTGTCTCCCGTAGCGGCGATAGCAGCAGCACCGTCCAAATCCCCCGCGGTATCCTCTTTCCGACCGACGTGGCGCCAGAGCCAGCAGGCGGACGGCGTCGAGAACCCGCCACCGCCGTACTCCGCCGCCCCGGTATCCCCCGCGCTCGGCAGCCCGGGGAGCGCGTCGCTGGCGGCAGCGGCCGCGGCCAAGTCTAAGCCGAAGCCGCCGCCGCCGCCGAAGCCCAAGCCAAACCGGCTGTCGGGGGCGCCCAAAATCGAGACGGTCATCGCCCTGTACGACTACTCGGCGCAGGCCGAGGGGGATCTTAGCTTCCGGGCGGGCGACGTTATTGAGGTTATCACGCGGACGGCGAATGAGAATGAGTGGTGGACGGGGAGGTTGCATGGGAAGCAGGGGCAGTTTCCCGGTAAGTTTTCTCTTTCCTTTTCCTTTTTTCTTTCTTTCTCTCTTTTTTCCCCCTATATTTCCACGTTCCTTGCTCTGCTTTCCTGCGGGAGGGCTGCGAGAGACATTGAAAGGGATGAGAACTGACGTTTGGGCAGGTAACTACGTCAAGTTGAATGCATGACACGCCGGGTACTCTTCCTGTATTGAGTGAAATCTGGCGGTCTAGGAAGGTGCCGAGCTTGGTTCGGCCATGATGGGATTCGCGGGGGCATGCAGGAAGGCTCATGGAGGGCGCTTTACACAATACGATACCATGCAGCAAAGAGCTTAGAACGATCGATACCATCTTGGATGAGGTTTGTGTCCGCGGCCATGTGCATCTGATGGCGGATACATGGGGCATGAGCAGGCCGTGGCATCGTATGTTGTCTGTTACTTGACCCAAGGGAGCCGGCTGATTGTCTGGCTTGACTATGGCGTTTTGTGTGGGCTGTGGGTTGAGAGATTGGTTGACGGAGGTGTCTCCTGTTGCTGTGGCTGGCTGTTATGAGCCCGGCCGGAGTGCAGAGCGACGGTAGGTTGTAACCATGCAGCAGTCATTGAGAATCATCTGGAAGACTAGTACTGAGTTTCTGATATAGGTGGACACCACGTTGACGCCGTGGGTCCATTGGCGTTTGCTTCGTCCCGTCCCTTAAGTTCAGACAGTCTGGGTTCTTTGAGCTTTTCATGGTAACTATCAATGGTCTTCCCTGCTCACCGCACTGTCTTGACGTACTATGATACCTTATGCATCATTTCTCATCTTCCAGCCTACATTGAGCCGGTATGTTCCAGGTAGCATCTAGCTTGGGTTTGCACATTTGAGCGCTGAATAGGTACCTCCAGTCACTGTTATGCTTAAGACATTCAGACCTCTGTATCACCATACTGTCTCACCATACACGCGTGACAGGCCATAGCTAGGGCATTTGCCACACTGCTGGCACATAAGTTAGGTACCTTATACGCCCATCTTTGACAATCAAGATTACCATGACGCGACCCGTCAACTGGAAATAGATTTACTACTCATCGATTTCGGCTTCCAGGGAGCTCACGCTGGCAGACAGGTCTGGATCGTTGTTTTCTTGTGACTAGTACCAGATTGGTGAGCCAAAGCATGGCAGATACGGCATGGAAGCAAACCAGACTCTTTCATTCTCAGGGGAGACTAGGGACTAACTCGAAAGTGGACTAGAAGCGAAAGAGACTTTTCCGTCTTCAAAGAACAGGGACAAATGAAGGGTAACCAATCTACATAACAATCAACGGCACTCAGATATCCTCATCGACCTTGTTATTGCTAGGAGTAGCTTTGGGGGAGAATGCGAAGACATCCTCGATGAAAGGCCATACTTCGCTGTCCCAGGAAGCCTTGGCCCGCCAGAACTTGATAATTGTGAGCATTTGTCGAACGCATCCCTTGCCCCAATGACCGAGTTGAAACTGTTCACATCCCGTGCGTCGAGAGTTGTTCCGCCCTGAGGTGTGTCGTATAAGTCGTGACGCTTGCCCTGGCCTTCGTAGGTATGGAAATTGACAATCTCCTTGAATCTGCCCGGACGGTTGGTAGGGAAGGACATATTTCTTTATTGACACGGTTGTTAGGATCCGCTTCCAAATTCAGGCAGAAAACGTAGGCAGCCTTACCTTACTTTTTCGAGAGGTCCTTTATGATCACTGCCACTGTACCCGGCGGCTTGTACTCAGCCCAAGACATTTCCTTACGGTTTTCGATGCGGCTCTGACAATGGCCTACTGCGTAGGAATCCTGGATAAGGTGGAAGCAGCTCCCAATGGCTCGACGGTCGAGCACAACTCTGTTGTACCTCGTGGTGTGTTGTACCTCGTGGTCTTGCCGAGAAGCAGAGCCTTGAATGTGCTGCTACCTTTCGGGGCGGTGTTGTCGTTGAAGAAGGTCCCAAGCTTGGAGCCGATGAAGTCGTCACATCCAATGCCCTGGTTGCCGTTGTTGTTGTGTTCGTCGTTGGAGCTCAGAGGCGGGTAGTTATCAGGAACCGTCACCTTATTTAGACCACGAAGATCATTAACGACGCGTCCCTTCAGTTCGCCTCGGCTCATCCCCCACACGACAAAGACGGGATGAGCAAAAGGACCAGCGCCTTTTGCCCAGCGTATTCGACACTGTTTGTAGAGGGCGTTGAAGGTCTTGTTAAGAACCTCTCGATCCCTCTGACTCAGCGGATACGAGCGGGCGCGGACTTTCTGGTTTTGCCAGCCCTCGACAAGAGGAACCTTCAGCCAATCTTTGGGTGGGATGTCAATTATACCCTTGTCGGTCTATAGCTGTGGGAATTCCTTGACGATAGAGGCGAACTTCTTCACGAGAGTCATATCGTCAGCGTAGACATGCACGCCTTCGGGGGTAACAAGCTTAGGCAGGTCGGCGGCCATTTTGAGGCCCAAGGTGGAGTGCTTTTCTGCCGTCGAGGCTTTGGAGGGTCACCGTCGGGTTCGGCCGCCGGCGTGAGAGTTTCCCCGATCTTGAGATCAGGCATGGCGAGTTCGCTCTGCTGCGTTAGCTGAAAGACGTAGTCGCTGACGGGCGTATCAGACTGGCTAAACGAAGCTGTAGCTTCGGGAAAATCCGTAGGTGAGGTGACGTTGGCCAGTTGCACGCGAGGGGCTTTGAGGTGTGTGATGCCCTGTTCGATGATGGCTCCCGCGTAATCGGTGAGAGGGAACTTGGCGTTGATCGGAGTGAACGGGGCTTCATACGTGGCCAGCGATACGGGGTCGATGTCGCTGCGGACCGCGAAATCAGCGGTCATTGCAGTGGCTATAGTGGCTGCCACGAAGGCGGTTTCAATGGAGCAAGCGAGGAAGCCACATTCGCAGGCTTTAGTATCTAGTCTTTCTATGTAACTAACTGTATCGAAGGCTCCAGATATATCCAGCTATACTAAGGAAGCAGGTTTTCTCTGTATCTCCAGGCTTCCTAGATCTGAGCGACCACTAGCCGTACAGCTAGTTCTATCGACTGGCTGGCTCCATTGCCCATCTGTTTCTTAGGTAGCAGACCATTCCACTCTGTAGCCTTGGCCACTCTCTTAGCCATTCAAGCCTCTAAAACGTTCCCTAGAGTTAGTAGGAGAGCTATAAGCCTGTAGCCCTTAGGGGTTCTATACGTAGCCGGGGGCTTCCCTGGCTTCATTAGAACCACTGTTTTAGCTCTCTTGTACCTTGGAGGGAGACAAGGAATTAACTGTATTTACATAGGAAATGCTAACCGTGACACTTTGGGCCACTCTGCGTGCTTGAGCTGTAGACTGCTTCGGAGATTCCGAGTTAGCAGCGCTGATTCATTTCGAAGTACGAATACTCCGTAAGGAGTGCACTATGAATCGTGGCAGTGCCCGAGGCGTTCACCGAGGGTAAGCCATGAATCTTTCTCAGAACATTGAGGGAGTTGCTGGTTGGTTCACTCTCTGGCACGTGGGACTTTCCAAAACCGGTGGCCCCAAGGAGACAATGGAGGCCAAGGTAAGTTGCAACACACTGTTTCCAGGTTCAAAGGCCAAGTGGGAAACGTAGGATTTCTGTATATATGCTTTCCTGGTTTGTAGGACCTACAATGCCATTATGTAAGAGAAAAGACTGACTTCCTATCCAGGTATGGATATCTCTCTTGCATCTGTCGCGACCGTGTGCCATATCAATTGCGGGTTGTCTCCAAGGATCACCGATCCACACCCCACGGCTTTCACGGTACTTTTTTTGGATCCCAGCAAATGAGATGGGCGACCTGGAGAAAAGCATCACGCGAGAGGCTTGTGCCGGAAGGGAAATTTGTAAACAAAGAGAGGGGGCTGATACTCGATGTTGAAGCCACAATCTCACGTGGGCATGACATAGTGAGGAGCCAAGCAGTATGGGGTACCTGAGGAATGGGGATCGGTTAGTGTCCGCCTGGGACTTCTTCTTCCCTCCCACTTTTGGGAGAGCGCCACGTTGGGTGGGTAGGTCTTGGTGTCGTAATCCGGGGGTGCGATTGCTCCGGTCATGCCTGGAAGGGGGAAACCGATTGCATATGCGAAGACCTCCACGGTTTGCCATGTGCTCCAAACAGAAGATGGACGTATTGACGAATGTTCAGGAGGAAGCTTAACATGGGACCGTATAAGGCATGCTTGAAGTGGTCTCTGCCATTCAGCTATAATTTCCACACTGCGCGAGCTGAACTTGGACCAGGGGAGGGAGGGCTCGGCTTGCATGATTACGCTCTTAGTGTCTCCCAAATACGCGGTTTGCATAACTATGCTCTTAGAGTCTCCCAAAATAGTTGCGCATTTTGAGTGGTACTACATCCAGTAGGCCATCTTCACAGCAGTCGGGCAAACAACCCCTCAATGCTTCTGAGGGGTGATGGTGTGGCTGATGCTGCGGAAAGAGACGACAAGATCACCCAACAACACAGCACTCAGGATTTGTAAGGTTAGAAGCCTTACTCTGCACTTTCAGTGATCATGAACATGTCGAAACTCCCTTAGCCGGGAACTTTGGTGTATGTTGCTAAGCAGCTATTCGCAAAGTACGGTTGTACAGGTCAGGGCATATTGATGTAAAGAATGCCTTCCTCGCCTGTCTCCCCTATCGTTTTCCTTTTGTGATCACCGGGTCTCAGCAGACCCAATGTGTCATTCTGCAGAACCATCCGTGTCACCGCACTGATGAGGCCCTCAAGATCGACCCGACGACGCCCGAGACAGGCCAATGCAGAGTACCAATTCCAGAAAGACCTTAATCGAGTGAAGAGCGGTTTTTTTTTGAAAAGAATTGCCTGTCGATCAACGGGCGAAGTGGTAAGCGCGGGAGATTGTGAGGTACTGAGCTGGCTCAATACTTCTCCAGGATGCCGGACGGGCGGCATCGCCCCCAACCACGGGGTTTTCTGGTGTGAAACGCGAGGTGGCATCATACTGCAAGGGTGGGTAGTTTTCAGCAGTGTCGATGCCCTTCCCTTTGCCTCCACCTGCAGCCTTAGCTGCAGGAGGGGGTGCGAAGCCTGCTGTTGAGCGCCCGTCAGTCCAATCCCCGGCTCTTCCAAAGGACATGTCGCCAGGGTACGGCGCTGTTCCCGCCAGGTAGATGGATGGGTCCCATGAAATGAATACCAGCGCCTTGAGGCCTTCGGCCGTCGCCCCAGTTGAGTACACCATGGAGCGCTCGTCCCAGCTCCCCTGGGCCCCTCCGCAAAGGTGTCCTGGCGGGTTGAGGATTGCGTGAAGGTCGGAAAGCGCGGCATTGGGAGCAGATGGATCTTGCTCTGGGGGCCACAAGAGGCCATACTCGCTCTTGTAGAGGTTGTCAATCCGCCGCAAAAGTCCATCTGGATCCTGCGCCCCTTCTGCTGCCGGAGAGCATTTTCGCTGCGCAATCTCGTCGGGCGTCCACAGACGGCGTGTGTTTCCACGAAGGCGGAATCGCCGATCAGCAGGATCGAAAGAGGTGGAAACATCAACAACGTCTATGGAAGTCTGGGATGACGGGTAGTAAGCGCGAATGGGGCACTTGGAGAGTACGGCATCCACAACTGAATGGTCATCTCCTGGATGGACCGCATGTGGATTTCGCGCCCTGCTTTTTGCAGCAGCCGACTGCTGGACCTTAGCCAAAATGTAGCGTGGGGTGGTGTTGTCCATTGGATGATGTTTCTTTGAGCGCTTGTCTGGATCGAAGCGGATGGGCGTCGTGTAGTATGTCCGGCGCCCGGAAATGCGGCCATAGAGCCACTCTCTCCGGGATTCGACGGCCTGAAGATGGCCGGTTGCCTCGTCCCTGAGAAGAAAAAGAGACGTCCACCTGTCGTCGATAGGGCCCTCGTTGTGCTCTCTGCGCCAAAGTTGATCGCCATGAGAGGGTGGATCCTCTCTGCGACGGAACCCGTCGCGTGCAAGAGGGAACCTGAAACAGTTATAACGCGACTCCCATTCTATCTCCTCTTCAGTTAGGCTCGTCTGGTTTGAGATGCCATAGAAATGATCGTCAAGAATCTCGAAACAGACGGTGTAGCCGATGTCGTTCCCGATACACTCGAGGATGTGGAGAGGGTGGTTCAGCCATTCTTCCGCTGCAATGTCGAATCCGTGAATTTCCCAATGCTCGTGCCCGCGGTCATCGTCGTCATCTGCAGTGATACCGTAATAGAGAAAACGGTGATTGTTGCGAACAAAAAGGTCAGAGATTGACTCCAATGCGCGGACACTGATGAAGCGACCTTCCAGAGGATTGAAGACCAGAAGCCAATGCGTGGCAGTGCAGCCAGGCTGGCCGCTTGGAGAGGTGTAGAGGCATGAGACTATATCGTGTGAATAGTACAGCAGCTGGAGGTCGAACTTGTGGCGTGTGCATGAGTCGTTGAAGACGTCATGAAGGAATCTCGACATGTCGACCACAAGTTCGAACTTCTCGGAGCGGTGAAGATGCAGAATGCGCAGCTCGAGGCCCGTGAGATAGCAGAGCACGCCATTCTCGTATATCCACTCGTGGGCAAGGCCAACAACCGCGACGAGATATGGGGCCACGGATGCAATGGCATGGCGGCGTTTTAGGAGACGCCTCAGCGCTGATGGATAATTCTTGGTGACACGGGCCTCACGGGCCTCGGTGCTGTAAGGTGCCTTGGTCTGAGGGGCGTGTAGCATCAGCATCACTTCTTAACAGGTTCATTGTGACATTGGCAAGCTCACCTCGAGCAGTAGTTTTGTAATGTTCGCTTCATAAAGCAGATACTGAAACCTCTTGCATGAGAAGCTCAGGTTGCGGATGTCGGCGAGATCCAGATGCTGGACTACGAACGAAATAAGCTCGTATGGTAAAGGAAACGGAGCCATGACGGATGGTGGAGAGACGAAGTATCGAACCGAGATGTCAAAATCTTGGCCACATTAAGGATTTGGCCGCCCGTGTCCTTGACCGAGACGGCTTGTCGGTTAGTATGTGGTGGAGACAATGGTGAGGGTGGAAATAAAACGACGAGTATGAACAATGGCCGCCTCAGTACCTAAGAAGCCGAATCACAAGGGGCTGCGGGGAATTCGAGGACGAAGGTTGGCAGACCTGCAGTGAATAAAGTATTCTTGAAATAAGAACCTGGAAGCTTGTGACTGGGGTCGTCACGTCTCAAGATTTCGTGCAGATGCCATTTCAGGTTAATTTCGATGCCGTGGCCATTGAGGAAAGGCTGTGGGACGAGGAAAGAGCCGTTGACATGCACTTGCAGCCCCTGGCGAGCTTGGCTTGACTTTGAACAGTGAACGGCCATCCGACGCTTCCAGGTTGGCGTCGCCATGGCTCCTGGCTTCTGGAAATCTGCTCTTTGATGTGTTTCGTCTTACGAAGTTACTTGAGACTGGCCACCGAGGGCATGCAATTGTGTGTCGACGGGACAGACACACGGCCTCCATAACACGACGATCCTATCGTGGTCAGTCCAAGGTTGACTGGCGTGAATCTGCGAGGTCACCCTGAGCTTGCGGCTCTGCGAGCATCAACCCCACAAGGGCCCGACCCCTCGTCAACAAGGGAGACATCTGAATGCAGTGACGACAGGAAACTCAGTTTGTGGTCGGGTAGTCCTCTTTCCCATGCTGAAGGCGGATCCATCTATGTATCCGGTACTTCCAAATGAGGCTCAACTCAGCAAATGGTGGGCAAAGGATGGAGATTCACGCAATTGATGTTTGTATTGAGAACTTCCGGTTCCAAGCAGGAACGTGCAGTTTGAGCGGGACCTTTTAAGCACAAGATGCCAATCAGCAACGAGCATACTTGATTGGGACTAGCGTTAAGTGGGATCTTTCCCGCCGAGACATGCGGCTCAACTATCGATTTCAGGTTCCTTAAAATGACCTACCTTCGTCATAGAGTACGCTATTATTATTATTTCCTATACCGATATGCCCGAAGGCGCGCCGTTCTCTCTACTGATATATATAAAGGAACTTGTACCATATAAGCTAAATAAAAGTCTCTATCCTCTACTTTATAGCTATTACATTAACATCTAATTTGCTATAAAAGAATAGAGGCCTTTTGCTAGCCTCTAGAGTCCTCTAGCCTTCTGCTATTTCTAGCTCTAGCTCTCCAGCCAGGCTATATTCTAGCAGCTAGCCAGAGTCTATCAGCTAACTAAGAACCATTTGAATAAGACTAATACTCTAAGCACTTACTACTTATAATATAATTCATAAGTCGTTATATAACCGATTTAATTAGACGCTGACCTACTTATAATTGAAGAATGGAATGTAACGGGCTTGGCCCGTAAAGGCCTCGGCAAACTCTCGGCCAAGACTCGAGATTCGGTGGACTTCTATCTTGTTCGATATCGGCGCACAGGCCAAGGATGTGGAGGATAAGACGGCAGGTATCTTGCATAGTGTTTCACTCTTTTTCTTCTTCTTTCTCCATTCGAGACAAACTCGTAGAGTCGTCACCAGCTAGTTGCAATATACTCCTGGGACCGTTACATGGAACATTCGTCGAGCAATGCAATTAGATAGTACAGATATGCTATGCTCGCACAGCTATAGGGAAGCAGCTAATCTCTATATGCTCGACCCTACAGCATAATTACTGCAAGTGTAAGGTGACGCATACAGGCTCACCAAGGAAGATGCACCGAATCCTCAACGAGCAGCAGGCAAGACGACTGTATTATGCGTGCACCACTAACCAACTGACTGATGCTTGAGAGAGGGAAGTTCCAAGTTCCAATCTGAGTCTCCCGCTCTCTAGATATCCTCCCTCTGTTGCGAGTCATGTCGCTTCACCATGAAATCCTCACAGTGTCTCGCCCGCCAATTGCCCAAGTGTAGGGCTCATGGTAAGAGCCGTGACACCTTTCTTTTCGCCGTAGTGGGTGGATTCAGGACTTCAGACTGGTATAGGGGAGACAGAGGTTTCTAGTCCAGCCTTATAAGCACGGTTTTTCTTTGTAACTAGTGGTAGAGGATCTGGCGAGCCCTAAGGCATAGCGGTATGAGAATGATAATAATAATGATAATAAGAGCTTAAGCTTCCTACTTCTTTTTAAGATAAACTAGCTCAACTAATCGCTTAGTAATATTATCGAAGGCTTTATAATATCCTTTTAGGCATTAAGGTCCTCATTCTCCTATGATATCAGTGCAGAGCAGGCTTCTTAGAGTAAGAGTAAGCTGCTTAAATATAGTAAAGTCGAGTAGGAGTAGCTCTTTGGCATTTGATACCGGAAGGTATCGCGCAGGGTTAGGGCTAGGTGTTATACCCCACAATTGGTGGGGTGGTTGTTTGTATGTAGATAAGATAAGGCTGCCCCACTCTGGATGGTGGGATATCTCCCACCACTGTAGTTGCTGCTTGCAACTACCAGAGGACTACAACCTGACTTTTCCCCGAATACATGGCATTTGCCCTCTTTTCCCAGCTTACGGCTCTTTTCCGTATCAGCATTATAGCTAGTCCGGTAACTTAGTCTAGATCCAAGTTTTCCGAGAGATAGCTTTCCACTTTTGCCAGTCCTTCACTCAATCGCCCGATTTGTGGCAAATGCACCTCCTTTTTAGGTATCCTACGCGGCTATATAGAGGCTACTATATAAGTAAAACTAGTATCACTGGAATTTTTCGAGCTCCTTCTAACAGTACCAATTTCGTCTGTTTTAGATCGGTTGCGGGCGAGATACAGGAGAGCTTAATCATTCCTTAGGAGCAATTTCCTTCTTGAATTTCATTATAACGTACTTGCATAACGAGTGGCGCAGCATAACGAGTGGCGCAGCATAACGAGTGGCGCACTTTCTTCCTCCAACAACCACCTAACTTCATCACGAAATTTCTTCCACAACACAACATGGAATCTCTTCCAAAAGAAAGTCGTATGATCCTTGCGCTCGAAGCTCTTTAAAAAGACCCTAATCTTTCCGTACGAAAAGCTGCTACAATCTACGAGATCCCCGAAACCTCGCTCCGTCACCGACGCGCCGGAAAGCAACCACGACGCGAATTACCTGCCAACCTTCGGAAATTGACCGACTTGGAAGAA